ATTATTATATGAACTTCTCTTCATTGAACATATTATTGATACAATCTGATCTAGTTTTAGATCATGCCATTAGTTTCTTTATTTGATCGATCTTTACCAACTTCATCTTCATTTAAACACTCAACTAATATTCATACAGTACAGGTAAATGTGCATAGGAAGACTAAAATACTTTATTCAATATTTGTGTCTTTTTTTTGCTCTTATTGCATTTTAATCTTATTTGTTGCTTGAAAATGTCTTGTTAAAGATCGACTTTTTTTTTGTAATCGGATCATTTCATCTGTTACTTGATGTGTCCTTCTGACGTAAACCATTAATAATATAAAGAGTAATCGACACCACTAGTCGTCTATATGTTAGTCTCATGAATGTGCAAATGAGACATAGAAAGTGAAGGTCGTATTCATCATCTTTCATAGATTTTTCATTAAGAATGAGAATTTTTCTATTTCGGACAACACTTTTGTCCTTCGAACCAAATGTCTATCTTGATAAGAAACAGCATATATATACATATTCAGAAAGAGAGAGACATACGGAACTAATGGTTATTATTTCTGTCTAAGTTTATATTCACTTTGATGAGATCCAACACTATTACCTATACAAATCATTTTCTTTTCACGTAAACATTGATCCTAATTATCACACACGTTTTATCTCAGTAGTTCATCTTTGCTTTCGTCTGTGTATATAGACAGATCTTCAGTCATTTGTCGAGGTCAGTCAAACCTATCATCATTATTATTGTCAACTTTCCAGGCAGATATTTTTAGTAATTATTCAAGAGATATATACATTGTATGCATATGTATATATACACACATACGGGAGACATTGAACAAACTGTGAGTAGTAGATGAAACAATAAATAAATATCTATTCGTGCGTATGCTTATATCAAAGCTGTGATATAATCGACGATGATTATGCGTGATTCGACTAACAATAATACTATTGCCATTAACTATCGTTGTAACATTAATGATTGAATGCGCGAGCGGATCGAATACAATGTTGGCTTGTTTTTTTGATTGCACGGGAGAACACAAGCGAACATTGGTAAATGCATTTTTCTTCTCTCTTTTATATTTCCCGATTGGATTTGTTTCTTTTATTTTTTTTTGAGATGAATAGTTGGCCTTTTTTTTTGTATTATAGCCATGCATTCTTTCTGATCCAAATGTCAACGGTGGTGCCAAGGAGAATGGCTGTGAGCCGTCCTTTGCTAAGCACCAACACCAACATCATCATCATCATCATCAACGTAAGTTAGTTATATCCAACCGAGAGTAATCATAACAATATATCGAGTGAAATCGAACACGAGAGGTGGATAAAAAAAAACCGAAACAAAGAGACAGCTGCAGCTGTTCGCAAATGTGTTCACATGTTTGATGTTTCCCGCTGTGTTCGAATATGGATATTCTCATCATTACCATATGAACAGAAAGAAATCAAAAAGAAAAAGTTGAGAAATTTTGTAATGATGATAACAAATTCTTTTCTTTTCTTCTCTTTTCATCAAGGTTTTTCTTTCAATTATATCCTATCAATTTAGATATGAAGAATGAATATTATAAAAGCTAGTATATATACATATTGGGTGGGTCAATGTTCTACGTGTTTGTATGTGTGTGTATTAAGACGATTGAACCCATTTAATATTGACAATATATATGTGCTATTAGACGTTCGACAGTGTTTGTAGATTTGCCCTTTTGTTGCCTCTATAAGTATAATCATTTATTCTAATTTCACAATAGTTGTATATAGTAGACTACATAGTACCATACCAATCAGTCTCTTTGATTAGATGTCATCGATCGCTTTAATCACTGACTAAAGAAATAGAGAATGTAAAATAAAGAACATTTATATATATATACATATATATATATATTGAAAACACACAAAAGAGAAAGAGACTACTCATGGCATGCTATGAGAAGCTCAGTGAGCGAGGTAACGAGAAGAAGGGTAATTGAAGAGAACGTGTTGTATGGCTTTAGAGACGTGCGAGAGTTAAAGAAAGAATTAGTCGGCTATTTGCCATCATTCTTTTTCTTTCTGCGGATCAACAATTGAATCAATCGTCGCTAGTCCATTCGCACAATTGCGTATGTAAGAAAAAAAAGCTGAGAACATGATTGTCTCACAAACAACCACAACAAACTCATCCCTATAAAATGCGACAGACGAAACGAGAAATAATCAGCATACAGAATTAGTTTAACCATTGTGGTAGTTCTTGACCTTATTCATCAAGCATTGTCTGTCTTTTTTCACTAGAGAGGAAAAAGATAGACAGATTGTATTCATTGAGAGACCATGCAGCAGCATCGGTCATATATATATATATATATATATATGCATGCACATATATCTTTCTCCTCCTTTCGTTCTTTTTTTTTTCTTCGCCGTTGGATAATGAATGTCCAGGGCACATTGACTAGATGGAATTCATCGTTTGTTCTGCTCAGCTGAGTTGCTTTCTCGTGCAGCTGTTCACCTATTCATTTGACAGGCACGCGTATACATGTATGTTTATAGTGTAGAAAGAGGTGTATGCCCTCCCGTCATAACCACTCGACCTGTCATGTATGACTTCATATTTGGAGCTACATACATATTTATCCAAGTGCCTCTTTAGATGCAATTGATCGTACATTGACCGATTTTTCAAATAATAATAATAATCACAACAATAACAATAACAGTTTTTCAATGAGTGCAGTAACAGCAGCATGCTCACCATTTCAACCACATGTTGTATCCGAAGAATCTTATTGTTCACCATGGGATTTAAAAACGCAAGAAGAAAAATTCAAATTACTCAGTGAACAACGATCAATATCATCATCAAATACTATTACAGCATTAACTGATGCTTTACTTCATCCATCGAATACGAACAATCGTTCAACATCATTTTCTTCTTCCAATAATAATAATAATAATAATAATAATAATAATAATAATAATCCATTTCATCGTACTCGTTCAGCACGTACAACATCATCAACAAAAAAATCCCTTACACTTCGTGAACCTTCACCACCTTTACTTCCGCCATTACCACCTGGTGGTTTAATACCACCACCAACAACAGCTAATGTCACATGTCAATGTGGTAGTAATAATAATACTCGAAATCGATCACTTAATAATAATAATAATAATAATAATAATAATAATAATTCAATGAATGAATGTCTTGATCCATCATTAAAAAAAATTTCCTATTGTCTTAATGCACATGCTATTCGTTCGGGTACAGATACCTCACGTAGTTTTGTTTTTGCATCTTCGTCACCATCTAATGAACGTTCACAACGAGTTAATACAGCACCAGCTAAAGTTGATTTATCACATGTAATTGAAAATCGACAAGAATTAACAAATATAACAACACAAAATAGTACAATATGTTCATCATCATCCTCAACTGAATCACCATTGATAACAGATGATACGAAACCAATGTCATTTGAAGTAGGTTCTCTTCTGATAAGAAATTATATATTTATAAAAGTCATCATATTTTTTTATCGTTCTCTATAGGCTGCTTTACAACGATTTAAACGTTTAAGTTCATCAACACGAAATAATAATACAAATGTTTCTGCATCTTCTTTATCTAAAACACAAATTATAACTAATCAAGAATCACCCATAGCTTATGAACGACCATGGGATACATTACAAACATCTCTTATCAATAGTCTTTCATCTCCACCATCATCAGCAAATAGTCGTAATGGAGGAGGTTCATTACAAAAGATGTCTAGTACAGAAGAAACAAAACAACATTGTTCGCCACCATTTCCTATGGTTTCTCCTACAATTACTACTTGTCAACATAACAGATGTTCACCAGATGATAAACACAATATTAGTAATACAAATATAGGCGGTTAGAAAATAATAGATAATAGGTTTTATTTAATTAAAAACATTTCTTTTTTTTTTGTTTAAATAGAAATCAATAAGATAAACAATCGTAACCTTGTTCCATTAACATCGGATATTGATACTACAATTCCAATTGATCGTTATTTGTAAGTATCTATCTCAAATTTCACTAAAAGCTTATATATATGTATTTATTCAGTTGGTATCATTATGCAATGTCACGACGAACAGCTGAAAATATTTTACAAACTCGTCCACCTGGTAGTTTTCTTGTACGTCAAAGTGAAAGTGGAAATCAAAATGATTATTCACTTTCAATCAGGTAAAATGAAAAAAAAAATTTTTTTTTCAAATTATTGTTTTTCTGTTTTGAATAGAACGGGAAAAAGTTGTATGCATATGCGTATATGTTATTCAGCAGGTGTTTATATTCTTGGAGAATGTTCGAGACCATTTTCAAGTGTATCACGTATGATTGAATATTTTAGTCAAACATCTGTACCTATACGTGGTGCAGCACCTATCAAATTAGGTACACCTGTATTTCGATGTGAAACATTAACATCATCACCTAATAATTATCATTGTAATGAAGAAAATGATGAACTTCTGTAATTTATTTACATTTGACTTTGTATATATATATAGAAAAATCATTTATTATTCTTTGGCACATGACAACAAATCTTCAAGTTCTCTTTTCTTTTTCTTTTTTGATACAAGCAGATAGTTTGTTTCTTTTTGTTTCTGTTATACAACATTTATGTTGAAATATCTGGTGATTTTTTTTTGTTCTTTTGATCTTCGACTTTCGTGCATTAGCCAATGACTAATTCAGAAATAAATAATATTATTATTTGATTAAATAAAAATACACATCTTTTTTCTTTTATATAATATAAAAAAATTAAACAATGAATAATTTTTTTTTGTATGTGAAACTATATCGATAGCTAACGACACATTTCCTGCAAACCTCTTTCTGTTGCTTAGACAATAACAATTATTTTTACATTGACGATGGTAACCGCAATCTTTTTTCAATTGTCGTTCTTGTTCGTTTTAACAAATACAACGAAGCAATGTCACGAAACTACAGTGCTTCGCAATATGAGAAAACATTTGTGCCAAAACGTTTACAAATGTATCAAATACCAAAAGATCCACAACCAGGCGTGGTTAGTAATCTAGACAAAAGAAAAATTTATACTTTGCATGTTATAAAATTAATCAGAAAAATTACTTTATTTAATCCGAATCTTTTAATAGGATTAATAAAAAACGATAACTTAATCAATTTTACATAAAAATCTAAAAGAAAAAGGTTTTAATATTGAAATGCATCATATTCTTGATTTAATTAAATATAAAATCTAAATATTCTGTTTATTTTAGCATCCAAAAGCATCGATGTCATTAAATGCTAGTAGTTTTGTGGCTGATAATCGTGGTCGTCTTTTACCGGGTATTGCAAGATCAAAACGATCACCATTTGGTGAATTCATTGGAACTTGGGATTTACCTAAAAGAATTCCTGGACCATATCATGTTCATCCAATGGGACGAACAGACAAAAATTTTAATGCACTTTGTTCACAACGTGATCAAACAATTCGAGAAATGGAACAAGCACGTATCTATGCAGTATGTCTTAATAAATTCTATATAATTCGATATGCATCCATGAATCTATGATGTGTTTTTTTATTGTAGAAAGAAGAATCGTCTGCTCATCGAACATCATAAAATAAAGAAAATGGAATTTATCAATATTCAAAAGACTTTTATTTTTTCACTTAGTTCAATTCCTTTCTTTTGTTTGTTTTTTTGTCTATTTTAAATGGTTTGACTTGTCCGAATTTTTGTACGATCCATATGTTCATTAAATTCAGCTGTTTTTTGTAATGGACTACGTGGTCCAGCAAAAATCATTTGAACGAGATTATCAGCTCGAATATGTTTATGTGCAGCAATTGTTTGAATTAATACAAGAAAACCATCAAAATCAATATCACGTGTACCTTGTGGATAAACACCATTTAATGTAAAATCTCCTAATATTGAAATAAAATCTTTATCAAGTTCATTTATTGTATATTTATCATCAAATATTCGACATTCACGCATCCAATTGCTTAATACAGAATTTGTTAAACGTGCTTCTAAATGTGAACTTTGACGACGATATGCAAATGTAGCAAATTCTTTATAAAGTGAACGTAAACGTTTACGTTCATCATCTGTTAAATGTAATTTACGACTTTCTTCAACAACATCACGCATAATATTAACAGCAACCAGAACCTTTTGTTTTTGATTTATTGAAAGAAAAAATAAAATTTTCTTTTACATAATAGAAAAATGAAATGAATATACCTTTTTAGAATCCCATGGACGACTTGTTTGTTTACCTGTTCCAACTTCTAATGAAGTACGTTCAGTTTCAACTCGCCATTTTTGAAATGAAAATTCATCAGCTGTAAGCATTTTTTTAACAAATTCATTTAATGATAAATGAATTTGCTTTGCTAATATTCGAATACAATCTATAAAACCATTCCATTCAAAAGTATCTGTACCTAATTTATATATATTAGCATTTATATTTCGAGCTAAAATGCTATGTAGTACACCTTCTATAAAAAAAAAAGAGAATAGAAATACATTGTATACAGAATAAAGAAAAGTTAAACTACAAATACCAATTATATTCACTGAATATGTGTCAGAAATGGCATGTGATGCACGAAGCCATTGAATAAATACATTTTGCCTAATCAATCCATGTTCAAATTGTTCGGAAGCTAATTTAAATGATTCAAACAATTTATTCATTAATTCATTCTAATAAGAAAAAGTGATACGTTAATCATTTAGTTCGAATAATTTTGCTTACATCAAGTTCATCACGTACAATCCATGGTTCAAATATATGTGATATTTTAATTTTTGGTGATTCTTTTGATAATACTTTTATTGTTGATGATGCTCTTGGTTGTTGTTTTTCGTCGAACTGAGGAGAAAGCAGAATACTTTGTTGCATTGATTTATTCATATCGATACTTCGATCTTGTTTATTCGTACTCGATATATTGATTTTTTTGCTACGATGTGTTAAAGATTTTAATTTTTTCTTTTTCTTTTTCATTGATTTAACTGTTAATTGAGTTTTCTTTGGACCATTTGTAACTGATTTTGTTTTCTTCTTCTTCTTCTTCTTCTTCTTTTTCCTCATGATTCGTCGATCGTTGATCTTCATTTGCATCTAATTAGTAATGTTAAGGAATGTTTATAGTAAATTGTTTATATATAATTATATCTCTAACTGTTAATCAATTATATGTTGGTTCAAATTAACTTTATATAAGCAAAAGTTACGGAGAACTGCTATCTCCTTCGTCAGTTTATTTACTTATACATTAAGATAAAATTTTATATCTTTTTTAATACGTGATCGGAAAGGTTTTAGACAATATATTTGTTCACTTTTGATCCGTTAGAAAATCTTTCCTATGAGTTAAGATCAGAATTTTGTGCTCTTTTAAAATATGAACTTAGAAATTTTAGCTCAATTTTTGTTCGACAGTAGTGATATAATCTTTGAAAAGCCCAAAACATTAGTTTGGACGGAAAATTTTTGTATTTTAACTATTTTGATTCGAAACTACAAGTTGAGATCTTTATTTATATATTAGCTTATAGATCAGAAGCTATCCTATAAAATACGCTATTTGAAGACTTTTTAACTTTCGAGAAGGCACTTCAATTTTCGTTTTTTCTAAACATTCATTTTTGAAAAATCGACAATCGTTTGATGTTGAAAGGAGCTCTTGAAAACATGATTGAGTAAAAGTTACATCTTAGTTCAATATCACATTTTGTAGAGAGGTGTCAGCTCTACAAAACGACCGATTTAGACAATGTTTCGCACATTCAAAAATACAAATTTGTATATTTTTCGTTTTCATTTTTCTAATGATGGAACGGAATGACAAGATGAAAATACTGGACGATTACATCTACATGTTTTCATCTTTCATTTCACTATTAGAACAAAGAAAAATAGATAGGTTTGGAAATAGTAAAAAATGTAAAATTTTATCCTGATGTAAAAGTAAATGAACTGACGAAGAAGACAGCAGTTCTCCGAAACGTTTTCTTATGAAATTAATTTTTAACTTTATAATTTAATTTTAATCACCATATAATTGATTAACAGGAAGAGAAATAAGTATTTATAAACAATTCATTTATATCTATAACTCCAAAACAAGAATCTACAGCAAAGATCTCTATAATAAATATCATTGTGTTGTCGTGTGTATGAAAAGAAAAGATTATATTTTTCTTTAATTGAATTCATACGATCGCGATAAACTATTCTCTAATCTCAACAGGCATAGATTCCATATTAGAAGATTTACCCCCGATTCGATCCTGATAATATCAATGATAATGATTAATATTTATATTTAACATAAAAGAGAATAACTTGTATAATAGAAAGTAACAGAAGAAATACAAAAAGTTATCAGCATTTATAACATCTAACCACTTCATAAATATATAAAAAAAGAAATTGAGTTGTTTGTGTTTTTACTTCTTTATGAATTTCACTTCACAGCTCTGTCACATTGAATTGCTAATTGTAAGCCTTGATAATTAAGGACAAATGCATAGCTATGTGTAATTGTGAATCGCATACTACTTGTTGCTCGTTTTTCGTATTCAATATGTATATCTTAACATAGGCGCAGCACTAGCACTACAAATAGTAGTAATTGTTTCCCCTAATACATTTACCTTCATATATATCTGACATGCGATTATTTAAGTAATACATTATCTACATTTTGATTACTTTTGAATTCTCTTCTACCACAATAAGCAATCTTCAAAGTTAACCGCTGGATCAAGACTCATAGCATGATTGTAAATCGGCTTTCGTCTTTCTAAGATTGACTATATAATACTTAATGACTTTGATAAAAAAAAATTGATGTTCGATTAACTACCATTTAATAGGTGAAACGCAATGACTAATCTTCTGTGGTATTTTTTTCTTACTAATAAGAGTGAATTTGGATTTGACATTCATAGTTTGTTTTTGTTTTCTTTTTAACAAAATTTACAATTTACAGTTTTAAATTTAAAATCAAAATGTCTGAAATAAACAACAAACTTATCTATTACTTCGAAATTAGAAAGGAGACCAACTAGCTGCTCACAATAGCAAATCGATTTTTCTTACATCATTATATTGATTAATAAGTGTATTCATTGATGGTAATAAACCTAAATGAATTTTATCTCGAATTTCTTTTAATTTAATAACATCATTATAAATTTGTGAACCAATAATTTTCTTTAAAATTTCATCTTTACTTTTATATAAATGATTTTTAATTACATCAATTAATTGAACAAAACCACAAAAATCCAAAGCTTTACTTTTTCGTTCATAGATTTTCTTTTTTATCATTTGTTTACGTAAATTATTCCAATCATTTATGAATATTAATGATGTATAATTATTATTAAATATTTCTGAATTTTCTAATAATTTTAACATATTTTCACGTGTTATTTGCTTTATTCCATTGATATTTTCAGCATATTCATCAAATATTCGTAATAAACAACCAATAATATCATCTTGATCAAGAAACATATCATTAAAACTTATAAATGGTTTTTCAATTTGAATTTCTTCAATAAGATCACGCATTATTTGACATGTTATTTCATAATCATGTTCATCTAATGTACTAGAATCCGATAAAATTGAACCAGTTTTTGGTGTTGTTACTGAATCAATACTAGTCATAGCAGTACTACCAATTGAAAATAGATGATTAAAAAGTGTTATTGTTTTACGATATCCTGTACTTGTTGCACTAGCTGGAGTAGGATAAGAAGAAGATATTGTTCGAGTTTTGGTTAATAACATATTTTATTTATTGTATTAAAGAAATGATGCAAGAAAAAGATTAACAAAGAATAATTTTCGTTTTTCTTTAGTGATATATTTTTATTAATGTTTATAATATTTAAATAAATGAGTTTTAAATGATATTTCGTGATTCTTTTTTCTAAGTATGTGTTAAATAGATCTATGATATATTTTTTTTTGATGAGTTAAATTATCTGTTGATTGGATTGGAAGAATTTCATGTTTGCTGACTGATACGAAAAAATTTTAGGCGGTTTTTTTTCATTTTTTATATTGAAGATAATTTAAGATTTGTTTTCTCATTCAGATATTTTTTAGACTTCCAGATTGAAAAAGTATGGTTGTCAATGGTCGTATACGATAACATACATTAAAATACAATTAATTTTTATTATGAATGTAAACGACTGTTGTGTACGATTATTGCATATGATCATAACTTAGTCGTAAGTTGAGATGCTCATTTCAATCAAGACTTACTTTTGAATCTAGCATCAAATCCAATGGTTAGATATGATTTTATAAAATTAAACTATAATTTTTTTTTATTTAGATTTATCTCAACAAAATATTCAACAGCAAGTAGTAATTTAAATAAGTAAATAATTTTTCTTTTATTTATCAGGGTAGAATAAGAGAGAATCGCCATCTCTTTACTGAAGAGAAACTTATGTCATTACGATAACTAATGATGGTGTATGATCGTTTACGCTGGGCGTATACATGTCGTATTTAATTGTATATGATACGACGAGATGCAATCGTAATTCATGAGTCAAGTAATACGACGCAATACAACCGTATATGATCGCTTACCACTATCGTAATGCTTGTTTTGGCTTGTTACTAATATGCAATTGCATCATATCTAGCTTCTAGTAATTGTTGACTTATGTGTATTGAAGTATTGATTGATTGTTTTGATAGACGATGATCAAGTACTCATTATAAATGATAATTAGATATTTTATACAAAATCTTCTGCATATAAATTGATCCTGTTTTAATATATGTTTTTTTATGTTCTTGTTGTTATCGAAATTATTCAACAATTGATAGTAATGAATATAGAATTCGATCAAATATTTCATTAAAAATTTGTTCTGTATTTTGAATAAATTTTTTATTAAGAATATCGTCGTTCTTTGCTTGATATAAATAATGATGAGAAAAATAGGACGAGGTTTATAATTGAAATTGAGTTTGTTATCGAATATGATTAGACTTACGGAAAAATATACCTAACTATCGGACGTTGCTCAGCTTCGCATTATGGATATGAGTAGGTCTCGATGAGACTAAGACAAACTTACAAGGACTCGGGCTGATGGTCTAGTGATAAAGAGTTATGACCGTTTTAATGAAACTTTTACTGAGAGTAAGGCATTTCAGAAAAATTCAAAACAAACAGTTTCTACCTGAAATTGTGCCTATAGGTATGTTTCATAGTCATTAGATTGTCATAAAAGTTTCAACGAAAACGAACATGTCTTTCTCGAGATATTCAATATACAAAGAAGCAGTAGTTTACAATAGAAGCAAACAGCAACTGAGTCTACTTGAAAGTCAGATATATCGATAAAGACATGTTCATTTTCGTTGAAACTTTCAGAACTATCTGATGATCATCAAATGTGTCTATAGGCGAAATTTCAGATCGAATCTCTGTGCTTTAGATTTTTCGGAACGGTCTTGCTCTTACTAAAAATTTCATTAATACGGCCGTAACTCTTTATTAGTAGGCTAAAGCCTCGAATTCTTTCAAAATTGTCTTAGTCTCACTGAGATCTACTAATAGCCGTAATATGGAGTCGAAAAGCATCTGACAGTTGGGTATGTTCTCTCGTTAGAGAATGGTGAATGTAAAAAATGTCTTCATTGAAAATGCGAAGAGGAAGCATTTATTAGGTGTCGAATAGACAATATATCAATGATATTATTGTTAGAAGCATATCGAAGTTTTGGATAGAACGTTAGGTATTAAAAATACTTTTACTTCTTAATGAATTATGCATAAAATTAAACACTAACAGAAAAATTCAACAAATATCAATACCCTTTACTTTTAATCGTTAGTTCCATAAATTTCTCAGATTTAGCTTTTAACATCGAACGTGTCATAGACAATGAATGATTGATAATTTTCACATTACACTCATTTATCGGTTTCATCTATTGAGTTTATCTATTTCGTATATTCTAAATTTTTAGGTTTAAATACATTTGAAATCAAGCGAATAAGGTCATTTCTTGAAACATTTTAAAATCCATATGTTAAATATTTGACAAAAAAAAAGGCTAGGTTTCCCAATAAGTTGAAGTATCCGATGAGAAAATCATACATTCAAAAGTCTACTCATTCACATACATATATGAATGAAGTATCAATATAAATCTTGGCTTAATTCTCAGCGACACCTATCACGGTGTATTCTGCGCAGAGATGTATTCATATCGGCATTGCAAACACCAATGAAAATGTATCAAGGTCAATCGCGTTTTATTGCAATTTCGTTCTATCCTCTGCTCGTACCATGTGAGCTTTAATTCTTCGTATATGAACAACGAACTATTTAGTCATATTTTAGATAAATTATTCAATTAAATCAATGACATCACTTACACCAAAACCATCTCAAATTGAATCATGGGATCGTTTACCATCCGATTGGCATAATGATGAACGTATGGACGCATTATTTGCTTTTTTTAAAGATCGTGATTTAAATCCTGTTCATTATGATGCTAAAATGAAATTTTGGAGTGAAACAATAATAAATTATTGTGAAGATCATGGTCTTTTACAAATTGATATTCCAACAATTGTTTCACGTTTCCGTCGTAAAGGAAAAACTTCAAAATGTCTTGATAAAATATTTGAAGAATTAATAAAACAAAATCGTCTTATATCAACAAGTGATTATACATATTCACAACAATCATCATGGGTATCATGGACATTTAATAAATTAGCAAGTCCACTTACAAGTTGGATGTCAACTAAAACACCAATTGATCAAGAAGTTTTTATTATTAAAGAACTTGTTGATGTAAGAAATAAGAAATTATTTTTTTTTTAATAAATAAAACAAAACAAAAACAAGAATTTTTTTTTTTGTCTATTTTAGAAAAAAGCTCAGCAAGTTATTGAAACATTGCAATCAAATGTTTATGTTCCAACATTTGATTGTGTTATTTCATTTAGTTCATTTATTGATATATGTCGTCGATGTGCATTATTTGATGAAAATTCAATTAATTTAATTATATCAGCATTAATAAGAGATAAAAAAATTTTAATTGATTATATTGGAGATACAAAAAATGTTAAAGTAAAGGAAAAAATAATAATAATAATGAAAAGCTTAATTTTAAATTAACTTTTTTTTTAGGTTGTTAAATTTGTTGCACCTGGAACATCTAACGTTCGACCAATAACTGAAATAGAAAATAGTGTTCTTTTGTAAGAAAAAAAAAGACAATTTTTTTCATCATTAAAAATTTTTCTATTAAATTTTATTTAGATTACGTCATTCAAAAGAACGTTTAGAAGAACAATTAAAAAAATCTGATCAACAAATTGAAGGGTAAAATAAATTTATATGAGTGCATTGCAACTTTTTTGTACAATGGGTACTTTCTAGTATCTACGCAATAATTTTCATTCCAATCGAACGATTTAAAAATTTAAAAAAAAAATCTATTCCTCTCGTAGTCCCATACATGTACACCAAATTCTATGTTTCCATCTTGTCTCGTTCTTAAGTTATATGGTTGCCAGTTAGAAAAAAAACGGCATTTTTAGATGAGGCGTATGTAACTGAGATGGCTCCAGAACCGAGATCAGAACCAACACATTTTTATTGGGAGTGATATCTTTTATGGTGAAGTAAGGCTTGCATTAGAAAATGATATCACATTTTTTACTAATATATTTATTACTAAGCGCGATACCAGAACCAAAAGTCTCTTCTCTGATCGGAACTGGAAACAATTTTTCTTTGAACAAGATCAAAAACGATTGGTCCCGCTCATCACTAGTTCGTTTACTGTTGCTCTGACATTCGATGACAGACATTTTTCTTTTTTTTCGTATGTGCAATGACACAAAGCCACCGCTTGTCCATGCTAGGAAAGACTTGACTAGAAAACCAATATACCAAATAATATAGAACTTTTTAAGTAAACTTTTTTTTTTATAAAAATGTTTACCTTTTCTTATTTCTATATGAAAGAGGAATCGGAGTATATAAAAAATAGTATATTTACTCACTTTGTAGAGTGACATTTTGAAACTTGTTTGGTCTAGAATTCACAAATAGTTGTTCTGGTTTCATTCAAATTTTCAGATTAAGTAGAACTGAAAAAAAGTTATATTAGTAATAACAATTTCAATTCTGTAGTTTTTGCTGTTCCGAATATATTCAAATTATACCAAAAAATGTACAGTGACGTTTTTTTTCTGCAGATATCTCCAGTTAAAACGACTAAAAAAATATTCTTTTCAAGTATAATTTAATTCAGAAGAATTTGGTGAACAAATGTGAATGTATTGTGAACTGTTCGTAACTAATTACTTTCCATGCAAAGCTGCAAAAATTACTCGAACCTTTACATAGTGTAAAATCAATTTATTCATTGAATTAAGCAGAAATTGAACTTTACACCGTGTATCTTGTTTTATATTCAGTAAAGTGTTAGAAAACTTTTACTACATAACATAGACATAAAATCTAATCAAATGTGATACTCAGAAATTTTTCATTTTTTCCCACCGTTTGTACCAAAAAGTCGCGATTCACTCATATATATATATATAATCATCAGAAAAAAAATGCCTTCATTTATTTAGATTACTTACGGATATTCGTCGTCATTTAAAAAATAGTAATCGCACAGCAGCTATGAAATTATTACGTAAGAAAAAGATACTTGAACGTGAACATGACAAAAAAGAGAGTACTGTTGAACATCTTAATACTGTTTTAACACAAATTGAACAAACAGATTGTTCATCATTGGTAAAAAATTAGCTTTATTCTCTTGACAGAAACAAAAATTTTCTTTTTTTTTCTTTTTTTCTTTTATTTCAAGGTGATTAATGCTTATTCATCAGGTGTTCAAGCTCATAAAGAATTATTACGTAAAAATGGTCTTACACCAGATGCAGTTGAAGACATGATCGATGAAGTACATGATGTAAGAAGATTTATCTTTTCATGGAACTCTGATATTAGATATCACCTTTGCTAAGATTTTGATATCATACTTGTCAGCTTGTTGAATAGATCTAAACGAAACAAGTGATTCGTTATCTACGATTCTTAATGAATTTATCGTCTATTTTTTTTAAGTTGTCGGCAATTCAAGGATTGTGTAAAATTGGTGTTTTTTGTCACGGTCAGATAGAGCTCGTCAGGTGTTGTTTTCGACATGTTCAAATGATATTTTAGTAGTGAAACTTATGAAACTTAGGTTTAAAAAAAAATCATAAAAACTTATAAAAATTGAACCACATCAAAAGCATCAAGTTTCGGTAGTCTCAATATTTATCAGAATTTTTTTTTGATTTTGCTCCTCATATAGTTACATGATTTTTGAAAAATATTGTTTGATTGTTAAGAAAATCGTTTTTCTCAATATGATAGCAAAACACTATAAACACGTGTTTGTATTCAAAGATTTTAACCATCAGAATTTCAGTTGTGAATGAAATGAACATCATATTTAGAATCAGCCAAAAAATCCGCATCGAATTGTATACTCAATGCTTAAAATTAAATTTCGATGCAGATTTTTCCGATGATTCTGATCATAATGTTCGTTTCATGGTAACCGATATTTCTGATGGTCAAAATCTTTGAATACCAACCAACTCATGTTTAGAGCCCGTCGGGTTCAAAATTTTCGAACCCAGGTCTGACCTCGATTAACGGAATGTTTTCAGATCCGGACTCGGGAGGATCCACATTGGGGACCAACCCAATGGATACTACCAGTGTTCATTTCATTTTGCTGTCATGTTAAAAAAAAAACGATTTTCTTAACAATCAAACAATATTTTTCAAAAATCATGTAACCATATGAGAAGTAAAATCAAAAGAAAATTCCGATAAATATTGAAACTACCGAAAATTGATGCTTTTGGTGTATCTCAATTTTTATAGGTTTTTACGATTTTTTTTTAAAATCTAATTTTCATAAGTTTCACTACTAAATTGTCGTTTGAATGTATGAAAAATAACATTCGATGAACTCTGTCTAACCATAACCAAAAATGCAAAAAAAAATTTTTGCTCAAATTTCGAACTATCGACATCTTACATGCATTTTATTAGATAAAATTTAGTCCATATCCTATGTTCGAATCATTGTAGAATTCTATAAACATTATAGTGCGATGATAAAGAGGATTCAGTTTTGAAATAGGTTTTTTTTCTCTTTGAATATGAATTCTTTTTTTTTTTAATAACAGATGCTCGATACACAAAATGAATTAGATGAAGCACTTAGTCGACCAGTTGTTAATGATACAACTGACATGACAGAATTAGAAACTGAACTTGAAGAATTATTAAATCAACCAATACCACCAACAGTAACAACTCCTGTTCCAAGTAATAAAGAAATAATTACTACATCTATAACTGATGAAGCTATAAAAACACCTGAACAAGATCCATTTGCTGATCTTGAATTACGTCTTCAAAAATTAGGTGTTCAAGAATGTAAGTTCTAATTAATTAATGTTTTAAAAACAAAAAAACTTCATAATCTATTTGTCAAATCTTTTTCTTTTAGCGACACCACATAAAGTAGCTGACATAGCATCATCAAGTCATTAATATCGTATGTAAAATATTACGTTGTATTTATACTTTAATGTTTTTTTTCTTACAAAAAGAGTCTTTTAACTGTAAAAATGTGTATTGTGTTTTTTTTTATTATTGTATTCATTGATTTGTGTAGCATTCTAATATGATTCTAGACGAAGAATATACCCTTAGCATTAGAAATGCTCTCAGACAATGGCATTTGTCTTCCGTGTCCTTGTAAAATAATCGTATTATTTTTCAGTGAATAAGATTAATACCTACAAAAAAGAATGTATAAACTTTACAAGCATAGGTGGCCTTTGCTATTGATGTGGAAAGATAAAAATTAATTATCATGTACAGCTATTCTGTGTTTCTTTTTTTTTCTGTATTGTTTATTGTTTTGATTCATATATATGGTTCATAATATACAATTGTTTCTTTTCTTTGTGGTTTTTTTAAACTATTTACAAGCCGAAGAAATTTGGTTTGTTAAATTTTCATATAAACATAATTATTTATCACGCATTGAAAAAACATTTCCATTAATTGATCTACTTCAATATGATTATGATCAATCATCATGTATTTTTCTTGTACCACAGAATTATTTATTAAATTTTGCTCGTTTTATACAACAACACAATGGTTTCTATCGAATTATGTTGGATAATACAAAAGATACATTGAAAAAATTTCAATTAAGATCAAAACGATGGACTCCATCCGATAATCCATTAGATAAAACTTTTTATCAACATTTTCTTTCATACGATGAACAACAAAATTGGTATAATTTACTTGCAAACTCTTCATTAACGAAAAAATTTATTCGTTTGCATACAATTGGTTATACATATGAAAATCGTTCACTTACTGTTGTACAAATTCATTCTAAATATCGTCGTCGATATAAACAACAACAACAACGTCGTAAACTTTCTGTATTTATTGATGGAGGTATGCATGCACGAGAATGGTTATCAATAGGTGTAGCAAACTTTGTTCTTATACAATTTCTTACATTAAAAGAAAACAATCTTAAAGTTCAAAGAATTTTACGTCATTTTGATATATTTGTTTTATCAATGATGAATCCAGATGGTTATGAATATTCACGAACACATAATCGTCTTTGGAGAAAAAATCGTTCACCAACAATTGTATCAGATTATTGGGATATTGATGAATCTTGTTGTGGTGTTGATCTTAATCGAAATTTTCCCTATCAATGGGATAGTATATATGGTTCTTCAAATCATCCATGTTCACATTCATATCGTGGATCACATCCATCATCAGAGAGTGAAGTACAAAGTGTTGTTAATTTTCTTCAAACAAATACATATTCTCGTAATAAATTTTATGCTTATTTTAATTTACATGCTTACGGACGATTTTGGTTATTACCATGGACTTATTCAACATTAAATAAAGTACAGAATTATGAAGATTTATTAAAAAGATGTAATCAAATTGCATCAAATGTTATGAATCAAACATATAAAGTTGGACAAGCATCGTTTTTATTATATCCATGTAGTGGAACAAGTATTGATTTTGCTGCGACATTAATGCCACATTCAATGACTTTGGAATTGTCGCCTACATTTAAGGGTTTACCAATGTGTTTTGAAACAAATCAAACTGTTGATCACAATTGTACTGTTGGTTTTTTAGCTGGTCCTGAAGTAATTGAAATAGACGGAACGGAAGTTTTTAATGCTATTGTTGAATATTTAGATTCTATTATACAAGATTATTTTCTTTCACGCAATACATAATAAAACATTCTTACAAAAAAAAGAATTTCTATCTTTTTTTATTCTATTCTCTTTCAGACTATAAAGAAAACATCTAATAAAGAATATGCGTCTCGAAACGTGTTATTATTGTTCATCAACGATTTGGCCTGGTCATGGGATTCAATTTGTACGAAATGATTGCAAAGTAAAAGACTGTTTTGCTTTTTTCTATCATCTCTATTTTTTTGTTTCAAAAAATAGATCTTTCGATTTTGTCGGTCACGTTGTCATCGTGCATTTAAGAAGAAATGGAATCCACGTAAATCACGATGGACAAAAGCACACAGAAAATTTACTGGAAAAGATTTAGCAACAGATCCAACATTTGAATTTGAAAAACGTCGTAATGAACCGGTGAAATATAATCGTGAATTATGGCAAAATACACGTACGATAAGAAAATTTAATAAATAAATACTAAAGAAAAAAAAATCTTTTCGTATTTAGTCCAAGCGATGGAAAGAGTCGAAGAAGTTCGTACTAAACGAGAACGACATCATATTATGAAACGGTAAATCTCTTTTTTTAATTTCGAGTAGATGTGCTGAGTGTCCCAAAAGTTCACGTGAATACAAGCGATTTAGTAGCTTTTTTATAATATTCTTTTCTTATCCTATGGCCTCTATAGGAACCATTTTATAGGGTGAGTGTGAATGTAGGTGTGTATAATTGAGTTGGGTGAATAGGTGAGTATTACATTCAGTCACATACACAGCGTATGACCTGAGTGTGGCGTTCATGCATTTGCATGAATCATGTTATCTTGCTTGCTTTGTTATAAATTTCAGGAAATTTTTCCAATAAAAAAGAATAACGAATGCATTACGTATTTAAAATGTTGATGCGTGACGAATTTGGTTCGAACTTTTTCTGTGTATATGAGGAGCGTTAAGATTCATGCTATTGAGGGAATTGTCCTTCTGAATCGTCAGATGTAGCCAAAGGCAAGATAGGGTTAATTTATTTTCATTATTGGTTCTTATTTTGAATTCAAACAAATGTTTATATATATTTTATACACATAGGTTTTCACTTAATATTTACCGATAAGTTGTTTCAACGAAAAAATTCAATTTTGTGAACCTTCTTTGTGAAGTTGTTGGACAAGTTATACCTTGTATGATTTCATCGAAAGATATTAAGTCATAACTCGGCCTAATATTTTTCGTGAAATAAGGCAGGGTATTGCAACAACTCGCACATTCGATAATGAAACATTTTCGCAAGCATTCTGAACTTCATCCATTTACTACTATACTAATTTTGCAAAAACGTTGAAAAGTATTCCTAGTAGAGTCTATGCCTGGTGTTTGTAGATCAAATGCGACTTGGACTTCCCTTTCACAACGATAGATGACTTAAATTTAGCCTTAACAAAACTTCAAAGAATATACTATGATATTATTAAAAAGATATATAAATCGCTTGAATTGTTTAAGCGTTACTCACGTAAACGTTCCATACGAACATTTGTGGCACCTTGTACATCAGTCATTTCGGGCAAAATGGGACATACCCACTTTTCATTTGATTTTGATTCCTTTCAAGGGTTATTTCTCTAAATCAGGGTTCTTTGGCATAGACATATATAAAAATATTAGCTCTTTCAGCTGAATATTAATTATAAAAAGTAATAAACAAATATTTCTCTAAACATAAGAGACAAAAATCTGAAAACTTCAGAATAGGTTCTAAGGCACGAATCGCATCTGTAGTAAAATTTTCATCAAGATCGGACTCTAAAAATCTTCTTCTTAAAAATTGATTTTTTAGAGATTCTATCAAGTCTCGCAACAAAACTTTTTGTATTATTATCACCGGGAGATTCTGAAGAAGGATTTGACTTTGTTTAGAATTGGTGTGGATTTTCTCATTCTGTTAAAAAAGCATTTTTTCGATTTGTACCGTTTTATAGTTTTCTACGGACGATAATATTTTAGTTTTGAAAAATGCTGCCTCAATTCGGACTTTTTGTTTTAAACTACAATGCATAAAGTGAAAGCTGATGTCCATTTTAACGTTCATTTTTTTAGTGATAACTCCTCTGAACAATGATCTCTAGCGGTGATATTTTCAGAATATCTAGAGTAACTTGACATACATGTAACAAATAAAAATTAGCTTTAGGAAAGTTTAGTATCTCGAGATATATGTATTTTAATTTTGCAAATTCATATCACTAGCAAATGATTTTACTCATAAATGTATAATTATTTATTTTTGTTTAGACTTCGACAAGGTACATTTGATCGAAAAGCAGCTGATTTACGTGAAGTACGTGATTATATTCATCTTGTACGAGCACCTAATGCTACAAAACCCATGGAAGAAATTGAAATGGTACAAAAAGCAATAGCTAAGCGTGAAGAAGCTGGAGAACTTTTAACAAAAGTTGGAACAACAGTAGCGACAACGAAAAAATTAAGTGCACTACGTCGTCGTGCACCAAAAATTGACGTTATTATCGAAACGTCGGATACAGAACAAATGATTGCCGAAGACGTGGAATAATCGATTTTGTTTTGTTTTATTTATTTTTTTGTTATTCTTTGTTTAAAACAATTAGAAAAACAATAAAATCTCACTGTATCGATGTTTATAAATAAAAAAGACACCACGAAAAAGAACCTTTGTTTCTTTTCTTTAAATTTTCTTCTAATTTTTCTATTGAAGATGATATATGTCTGTTCGTCGTTCTAAACTTGCACTAGATGTTCTTCGTCTTTATGCTGAATATATGCGTTTAAGTCGGCAAGTACAAGGTTTAAGAGATATAGCACGTATTGAATTTAAACAATATAAAGATCTTAAGCCAAAAGATAATCTTATTTATATTGAATATCTCATTCGACGAGGTAAATCTCAATTAGCAACACTTAAAGGTCAAGGTGTTACATCAATACAATTATCATCACAAAAATTCAAACAATGATTGAATCTTTATCAAATATTCTCGCTAATTTTCCATCAACTTATATAATAAATGGACAAAATAATCAACAACATATAACATTTGCATTTGGTTATGGTTCTGGTGTTTTAAAACAACAACAAGATATAAAAAAATCAACAATTCAAAATCAAATTGATCTTATTTTCGTTGTCAATAATTCATTTAAATTTCATGAAGAAAATCTTAAATTAAATCCACATCATTATTCATTTTTAAGACATTTTGGTGTATCAACAATAACACGTATACAAGAAACAAGAGGAGCTAGAATTTATTTTAATCCATATATAAAATTTAATAATGATTCGAATACACTTTATAAATATGGAATTATTTCACGAAAACATCTTATTAGAGATTTACTTGATTGGGAAACACTTTATGTTGCTGGTCGTCTTCAAGTTAGTTTTTTTTTAATGTTTTTGATTCATTAGATTATGTGTATCACATGAGCATTGACTCAACTAGACCTTAAAAATTCTCAATATCCGAACATATCTTTTTATACTATTCGAAACATAGGCGGCAGAAAGTTGAGAATCTAGGGTAGACTCAACAATCTTTATAAGATTCTCACCCGGAAATTTAAGAATGAGAAAGGAGACGAATTATTTTATGCTATTTAGATGGAACATAGTTAATACTTTTTTGTTCTAACGCACATTGTGCACTATATAAAGTTGGTGCGGTTTAGAAAAAATTCGCATCTTTGCATTAAAAAAAAACGTGTACTGGAAGAAACACGCTAAAATTTATCTTACATTAGTGTCGACTCTCGAAAAAAGAGTTTTCGATGTTCTTTACTGAAAAACAGAATAATGATGAAGCAGCAGCGTTCACAAAAAAAAATGAAATTTCATTCTCGATTCGCTCACTTTATTGAAAACGTTTCTTAGATATGTAAGTTTAGCAAATAAAGGTAAAGAAAACTTTCGGCAGCTTGTAATTTATCTTACTCAGATTTCCAGTAGAGTTCTTCTTCACTACTAACAAAAGTGTACTACTTCAAGCCATTGACAATGTGAGATCGAATATTTAATCACATAAAATGCAATATTTTCTGAAGAATGTTTTCTAAATCTGCTTTACTCTAAAAATACTACTATTTGCTGTTGAAGATGGCAAAAGATTCCGACATTTGTACGAGAATTTCGATGCACTGCATAAATCTATCGATCTGATGGAATGAGAAACAAATGTTTGAGTTTACCCTAACCTACGATACCGAGATCTAAGATAAACTTCAGCCTTTCTAAGTCTTGTGATTCCACTGCTCATACTTCGAAACGTTTGTGTCTATTAAAAGAAAAACACTAGTCGACGAAGAACAGAAAAATTTTGTTTCAAACTGTAAAAACGTCAAGATTCAATAGATGTTCAAAATCGTTCGTTATTTATGATTGAAGACATGTGACTATTGATAAAACATTTTTAGATCTTTGAATAAATCAGTAGAATTAAATGTGTTCTAAAATCAAAAGTAATCATAGTGTAAAAAGTTCATTCATTCGATACATTAGACTACATATTCTATTAGAAATCTTAAGATTCTTCAACAATGGTCGGATTCCATGAGGTCTGAACTCACTGAGTTCATAGAACTGTAGAAACTCTCGAGAGAGTGTGAATGTGGGCGTGGATATGGATTTAGCTGTCGTTTTTCTGTTTTCTCTATACATACACCTACACCCATATTTGAATATCCATGGAAAAGATTATATTGTATATTTCTCATCTCGCATGACATGTCTAGTATCATGAGTTTCTGGATGTAAGACATCACTATAGTTGTTCAAAATTTGTGGGTAAGCTATACGACATGATGTCATTTTCGTTTGAAACGTTAGGGTTGCTTCAGTTGTCGAAGTTGCTCAAGTTTCGAAACTTGCTTGAGTTCCGTGATTTTCGAGGGTACTATAAGTTCAGAACTCACTGAATCCGAACACGTTTCAGATTCTTCTTAAGATTGTTAAGATGATGCTAATAGATGCTCGTTATCATTGATTTTTATTTGGATTTTTTGAAATTTTCTTATCATAATTATTCTTTTAGAAACCAGTTAGTGTCATACAAATTGATCAAAACGATCAAGATTTAATCTATGCACTTAAAACGAATTTAAATAGCGCATTACATGTTGCTTTACTTCTGTTACCTGAAGAATTTACATTAAAAGATTTATTTCTTAAAATAACAGCTCTTTCATATCAAGGTGATTTTCGTATGTATATTGGAGAAAATAAAAATAAAATATCAAATATAGTTCTACCACAAATTGATTTATTTATTAATCTTTATTCAAATTTAATATTAAATGATACACATTTACATTGGAATAAAAATCGAACATTAGATACAATTGTTAAACAAGATGTAACACCAATAGCAATATTTACACGTTTACTTGCTTTACCTAAACATGTTATTAATAATATAATGGAATTAACAACATTAAAAACAAGACAATATCAAGATACAGAAGAAGTGATTAGAAAATTATGTCTTAGTACACAACGAACAGAAAAAATTGAATATGCTGTACGATCAATTGTTAAAAGATCAAGTTTAACACAAACATTTAAGGGTCTTTTAACTGCTGGTTTTATTCGTAGTACTCGTTATGCTTTAGCGAAATTAAAAAAGATGATACGTTGATTTTTATTCATGATTTTTGTTTTGTTTTTCTAAAAAAATAAATATATGTAATTTTAGATGAAAATTGCTGTTGTTGGTCTAGGTGGAACAGGTAGTGCAGCACTTCGTTTTGTTGCACATTTCGGTCATAATGCTATTGGTTATGAGCAATTTCATATTGGTCATGCACATGGTAGTTCTCATGGAGAATCAAGAATAATTCGTTATACTTATCCAGATGTTTTATTTACTCAAATGATGAGTGATGCATATAAATTATGGTTTGAATTAGAAAAAGAAGCTGAAGAAGAATTATTGGTTCAATGTGGTGGCCTTTATTTTGGTGATAGTAATGATCCACAAATATTAGCTACAGAACGTTCATTAATTGAAGCTAATTTACCTTTTGAACGATTAAATGCTGAACAAGTAAAAGAAAAACATCCGGCTTTTCATTTATATTCAAATGAAACAGCTATTTATCAAAAAGATAGTGGATTTTTACGTGCAACTCGATGTGTAGAAGCAAATATTCGTTTAGCTAAAAAACATGGTGCAATTGTTCATGAAAATACAAAAGTTCAAGAAATATATACAAAAAATAATAAAGTATTTATTCAATCATCATTAGGTGAAGAAGAATATGATCGTGTTATTGTAACTGCGGGTCCATGGATGAGTACTTTATTTAAATCTTTAAATTTACCATTAGTTCCAACTCGACAACAAATTGTTTATCTTAATATTAATGATCATGAAGGATATTTTCAAGCTAATGGAACATTTCCGGTTTGGATTGATACAACTGATAATCTTTATGGTTTTCCGAATGATGGTCATATTGCTGGAATTAAATTAGCATTTCATCATTGCGGTCAAGTTATAACTGATGTAGATGCTGAACGAGCTCCAGTTGATGAAAATTACTTAGAAGAAATTCGTAGTTATGCTAGAAAACGTTTTCCAAATTTAGGTTCCGATGTAACTTTTAGTCAGACATGTATTTATACAAATACACCCAATGCCGATTTTATTATTGATCGTGTAAACAATCAACCAAATGTGTTTTTAGTTAGTGGTTGTTCTGGACATGGTTTTAAATTTACAATTTTATTAGGAAAAATCATTGCCATGATGGCAACAGATGACAATGGATATGAAAGAAATTTAGATCGGTTTAAACTTAGTAGTTTTCATAAGATCTTAAATAAATTCTCTGATGATTAGCTTTTTTGTAGTTGAGTAGTATTAGTTAGTGATGTCTTGATTTACACATTAGTTTCAGATTTCTTTTTTTCTTTTCGTGGTCGATGAAAGCTCAATTTAGTTTAAATTTTCGGTAAAAACTTATCTTGATTTTTAATGAATGAAATTTGTTTTTGTTTTTCTCTTAGTGATTATAATCGAAATCAATTTGATTTTCAATGTTTACTTATATTAATTTGTTTCGTTTTTTCATGGCTTTTTATTTATTTAACAACAAATGGTAATGAAGAAAAAAAATTTTGAAAAAAATTTTTTTTGAATGATTTCTATTAGATGAACTTTGTAAAGCAATATTTATTCAGAATAGTCTTATATCAACATGGACAATAATATATTCAATACGAATAATTCTACCACATTCAACAAAATATAGTTTTGCTTTTATGATATTTCAATGTACAGTGACGATACTTAATGGTTCAGCCATACTTATGATGCTTTTTTATGAAGGTTTAAATGTTACAATTTTTTTTAAAATAATTATAATTGTTCTTGTTTAGATTTTGGTTTATGTTTATTATTAGTACTTTCTTTATTTTTGAGTAAATCAATATTTATTGCTGGTCCAACACTTTGTCCAAAGACATGTTCATTTATTGAATGGTTATTAATATCAATGGGTTGTAGTGGATTTTTTTTATCAATTAATCTTCACTGGTGGTCACATTTTGAAGTAAAAAAAAAAAGTTTTAATTTTATTATTTATTGAATATTTTTATTAAACAGGATGTTATTAACCGACCAATTTATACATTTGATTATGTTGTTGTTTGTGAAGTAAGAAAAAATTTTTATTTTAAATCATTTTAGTTTTGTAGTGTTTGCTTTTATTCGGTATGATTGTATCGATTTTACAAATTATTCCATGGTCAACAACCATAACAACTACAACACAATTTTATATTTCATTAATAACAATATTTTCAAGTGTTTTTCTGCCACAAGCATATTTTTTTCTAAATCAAAATCCATTTATATGGTTATTTAATTATATCATCAATAAATCACATCGAGTGAGTGAGTATATGATAAAGTTTGTTGATTTTTTTTGTTTATTGCGTCTTATATTATTTACAATTGTTTATAGGTTTATTTATTATTATTTTGGTTAATTACATCATTATTTTCACTATTAATAATTAATCTTCATTTAAAATTTACTAAAAATCTTAATATTAAGCATGAAAAAACAATAATTAGAAAATATTTTCATTTTTTAGCTATTATTGTTTATACGAGTGGAATATTACTTGATACGCATTTACTAATTATGTGTTCTGTTGCATTTATTGTTTTACTTTTATTATTAGAGGTGAAAATCAATTTCGAACAAACAAATAATTAATAAAAAAACAAAAAAAAAATTATTTTATTTGTTTTTTAGTGTATGAAAATAAAAAATATTGCTCCATTCGGAAATATTATACGTAATGCATGGAATATGTATGAAAATGAGAAAGATACTGGATCAATAATGGTTTCACATTTATTTCTTATTATTGGTTTATCTTATCCAGTATGGTTAGCTGATGATAGTAAGTTTAATTTTAACAGAAAATGAATAAATAAACTTATTAAACAAAAAAATTCTAGACAGACGTTTAGCACAATTAAGTGGAATTATAAGTGTTGGAATTGGTGATTCAATTGCATCGATTGTTGGATCAAAAATCGGTATTCATAAATGGCCAGGTGCCAAGCGAACTTTAGAAGGCTCATTAGCCGGTTTAATTGCACAGTTTAATTTTATTGCTTGCCTGTGGTATTTCGGTACGTAAACATTTGACACATTAATATTTTCGTTTTGTTTATTTCATGCATCAATGGCAATAGATGTGTTTTTTTGATACGCACTCGAATAGTTAATCATTCTAGTCATCAAAAATTGTTCTTTATCGAGATTTTTTTTTGTCATAAGAATGTATAAGTAACGATAGGGACGTTATTTTCGTATTCATCCATCGATCAGTCATGATTATAAGGAAGACAAGCGTTGAAGCTAATTATCGAAAAAAAACAAAAAGTATGAAAATTAATTTGAAAATTTTCATTACTTTTCATAAAGTTAATAAATGAATAACTCTTTTTCTTTTAAATTTATTATACAATGTAAAATTCGTGATACTCATATCTTAATATTGAAAATTGGATCGTTGTGATTTTTAAATATTGTTTATTTTATATATGAAATTTTTAAGCTTGGTTCTTTCAAAAAAACAAAAAACAAATAATCAAATTTACTTGTTTTCAATATTTTTCAAAGATTTTTCTATCGAATATTAGATCAAATCATACACTATTCAACTGTACATTTTTCTTCGTCGTAATAAAAATATTTATACTTAAAAAAATGATTGCATTTAGATGATTCACAAGGACATTACAAGGTAAAATAAGAAACTATAAAAAGATTACAGGTTATTTCAGCTTGAAACAAAAAAACCAGACTGTAACTAAAGTACATCTAGGGAAAAAAAACAAAATCATGTTCGCCGTTTTATGAATAATCATTCAGATTACTGTAGGAGATAAGATGCTTGATGATGATTGTGAATGAATACTACGGAATATATCAAAATGGATAAACGAATATTGGCCATGACCATAATTAGTTGAAATGTAGAATTAATTGCACTGCTCGAACATAAAATTTTGTCACAGTAACTTTATGACTATGAGAGAAAAATAATTCAAATAGAGATCAAAAGAATAACTAATAATATATTAAAAAGCATAGGATTTTTTATATATGAGAATAAAATCAGAATTCTTCTAGTTGTAAAGGAAATATTACACAAGAATTCATAATGGTTGTTTTAGAAACTTGCAGTAAAACCTCTGCATAGGGCAGACCATATAATGGGCAATTTTGAAAGTCCCTGCTATCATTTTTTACTGGAAATGAATCTCTCTATAGTGGATATTGTCATGTAGTTCTATGGTGAATACTTTTGAAAAGTCTCCATGGTGTGTCTACGACATGGAGATTTTACTATATTTTAACAATTGTTAATTTTTCAAGAACCAAAATGTATGAAAAGACAAGTAACAATAAGTGAAATATAATTTTTTTACTCACTGACATCTTTCAGATACCTAAAAAAACGTCTATTCTCCGGTAAAAAAATTTCTTTTAGAGTAGACCCAGCCTCCATACAGTGAATACATGAAAAATCCGAATAGAGAGATTATACTGTATTATAATTCATGCAAATCTTCCTTGTTTTAGAACTTTTATTGGCTGTGATATTCATTATTTCATAGGAAACATAGTTTTAGTCTTTCCGTAATATTTCAATAAGTCCAAAAAAAAATAAATAAATATCGGCATTCAATTATCGTTCACCAACGAAATTCTCTACTTATCTTTTTTTATGAGATTGATCTTCATTTTTTTATATGCTGCTCTCACGCAATGTATTGGTCACCAAATTGTATATATTTTTATGTGTGTGAGAAGTAAAAAAGACACTATGTTACTATCAAATATATTACCAAATCTACACTGTGACTAATAGCCGTTTGATCAAATGTTGCGATTCCTTTATAAAATGAATGACAGTAGAAAAGTAGAAAAAATATTTTTCTTTATTTAAGATATGATCTTTGCTATATTGATTTTTCTTTGTTTTTTTTTAGATATTATTCCATATTCTCAATATAATTTATTCTTTGTTTCATTGGGTCTACTATTTACAACTCAAATAGAAGCATTCTCCCATGATATTGACAATTTAACATTGCCTATTTCTCTTTTTCCTTTTTTATATGCATGTAAAACGTAATAATATGACAGTGATATCAGATGGTAAAATATTGTTGTTGTTGTTGTTTTTAATCTTTCATTCTGTTATATTGCGCTTCTACTTGATTTCATACAAAAAAAAAGGAAATAAGGAAGAAAAACTAAGCAAAAAAAACCTATAGATAACAAGGTAATACGTCGTTGCAGTAAACATATTAATATCGACTTCATGCATAAATCATGACATATAAATAAATGATTAATGCACTAATATATATGTTTGTATGCGAATGTCCACATATTCGCTATAAGCTAATAAAATTAATAATATTTCTTGTATCTTATATAAATATGTTCATTTAACATCTAGCAGTTATAAAGATATGTATTTTATTTCTTCAACAAAGCAAAATTCAATAGCAGCAATCCTTAAGTAAAAGAGCTAAATAAAATAACTACAGAAAATTGGAAAAAGAAAAGAAGCACAAATTTAATATTCGTCTTTAAACGTTAATTGTATTTCAATGTTTGATGTTGGTTATATTATTTTTTTTTATAAACCTTGTTGGAAGAAGCGATTGAATTCAGTACGATCAATCAGTCCATCACGGTTGATATCAACAGTATTGAAGGCAGCACCAGCGAGATCTACTCCACCATGACCTCCATATGATTCGTATGATGATGATTCATATCCACCACCGTATCCACCACCGTATCCACCATCGTATCCACCACCGTATCCAGCACTGTATCCACCACCGTATCCGGCACTGTATCCACCACCGTATCCACCACCATAATGTGAGGATCCACCGTATCCACCACCACCCAATGAGTAGCTTGCTGAGTCGTAAATTGAACCTCCACCAATCAAACCAGCATCTAATGAGTATCCACTGCCCCAGCCTGCTGATGCGCCAAAAGCACTAAGGTCTTGACCATAGGTTGCTGCACCATAGCCAACAGCAAAACCTGGAGGTGACTAAACAATTCAATCGAAAGGAATAGATATTGTTCACTAGAATAGAAGGGATAAATACTTACGATGTCTTCGATAACACCAGCAGCACGAGCTTGTGCAACAAGTGAAGAACCATCGAGAAGGCTAAGACCATATTGTTGAACATAAGCTGCTGGATTGGCTTGCACAACACCAAGTCGATGGAATTGACGAACGATGCGTGCTGGAGCTTGTTCGTATTGAATGATAACATTACGTGGATGAGGATATGGTTGGGCAGCTGCTGCACGTTGTACAATTGTGCGACGTCTAGCTTGTGGTCCATATGGAATCCATCGTTCGATGACGACGTCACCTGTAGGAAAAATAAAAATATTAAATATAACTTTTGAAAAAAGAACAAATTACTACGTACGAGGACGAGGTGGAAGAGGTGGAAAACGTTCGACAATGACCGATCGTGGTGGAACAGGTAAAGCTGCCAAACGACGAATAACAGTTTGTGAAGCAATCAGTGGTGGTGGATGTGGTGGACGTTCACGAAGAACGAGTGGAGGAGGTGTAGGAAGAGGAGGAGCTTGTTGACGAATGCGAAGTGGTGGTGGAACTGGTGGTTGAGGTGGGCGCACTTCTCTGATGATAAGTGGCTAGAAATAGAAATTTTTAGATAATCAGAAAAACAAGCCTAGTAAGGGGAAATAACTTACGCCTGGTGGTGGAACCGGTGGTGGTTGAAGGAATCGAACTCTGATGTTTTGTGTATAAGTTTGTGCACCACCAGCAGCTGGACGACGAATGATTTGTGGGTTTGGATCTTGATAGAGACCTTGAGCGTCAGTTGGATACACATGTGCACCATATGCTGCTCCACCACTATATCCAAGGCTTCCAGCACTATATCCAAGGCTTCCACCACCAATAACACTAACATTACCAGCACCAGCACCATAGGCTGCCAATGAATCGTATGATGATGCATCGTATGAGGATGCACCACCATAACCAGCACCAAGAAATTCAGCTCCATATGCACCGCCACCATATAATCCTGAGGCCTCATAGCTTGATGAGCCACCACCAATTAAGCCAAGACCTCCACCACCGCTGAGTTCATAGCTTGATAAGCCAAGACTTCCACCATATCCAGCACCGCCGAGTTCATAGCTTGATGCACCACCATATCCGGCTCCATAACTACTATAACCACCGTATCCGCCTCCAAAACCACCAGCACCACCAACGAAGCTATGGAATTCATTACGGTCAATGGCACCATCACGGTTGGCATCAATTGAATTGAATATTGCACGAGCGGCGTCAAAACTCATGATTGTAGGTAGTCACAAGTTATTTCTAGTCAGTAAAACTTCAATGAGAACGATGATGATGAATGTGATTATAATGAATATTTCTGCTTACTTTTATACTCCAACCAGAGTAGTATAACGACGATAACCCCTCGACTCAGTCAAGCGTATATAGCGTAAACATTTTTTTTTCTATAGATTTATGGCTAAAAATATTTTTTTCTTTTTTATTTCTCTCCTTATATTTGGTTGACAACGCTCTCTTATCACTACCGTATAACCACCAATCACCTCATGCATCTGCCTAATTATACCTTTTTTTTCTGTGGTTACTTATTACCACATAGACCAATATACTAAACAAGAAAAAAACATTATTTCTCTCTCTCATTAAATGTACTACGTCATATACAAGAGTCGCAAAAAAAAATTAGTTATAGAGAAGATTGGGACCCAAATAAAGAGCCCATTCATTTTCATGACAATAGCTCAAGGTTTTCTATAAAAAATAAATGTCCGACTCTTCAGATAAATTACTGCTCGCCCATATTTGTTTATTTTTGATAATCGTTTAAATTTAGATATGCTAGTCATCTTGAGTAAACAAATAATAATAAAGCATTATTATTATCTTTAATTTTTTATTGCAACGTACGCATTCTTTATACAATCATCAAAATAGAAAACATGATCAACATGTTATTAACGTTTTCTTGTGCAATAAAATCATCTCCTATTACACGCTGATTATCGCATAATTATATTTTGATATTAGAAATTTGCATACATTTTAGAGTCACATTTAAGTCAATGAAGGCTTTTTATTTCAGATTCTAATGTTTTATATGTATACATCAATTTTTGTTTGAGTCACAATAGATAAAAAAAATAAAAATAATAAATTTTATGATCGATGAAATCATAATAGAAAGAAATTGTAAAATATTAAGTTTATAATTATTAAATTTGTTGACGAATGCTTCACTTATGTAAAGAGTCGATTAATGACGTGGTTTTAGAAACGACAAATATTATATGTATATATAAATTAATGAGAGCTGCTAATATAAGTGGAGAAAAATTGGTCATATATATACGTATCTCGTATAACATCGTTTATATTAAAGGAATTATGAGAAAAATAATTGTTTCTCTAGTATGATATCTTATCAAAATTTCCTATTCAATTGTTTATCATTTATATGAAACTAAGATTGATAGAATTGAACAAAAACTAAAAAAAAGAAAACATCGATTTTTCTATTTCATATCAGTATAATGATTAGAATCAATATTGATATGTATCTTATTAAAGACTACAAACAAAAACAAAAATGATTTATGAAGCACTTCAATCTATTTCAATGGAATATATCAATAAAAAAGCTTTTTAATGGTGACTAGCTTGTTTTTTATATATTTCGATTTGTAGATAGACAACCGAGATATAAATAAACAGGCGATAATGTCACTTGCAGCATGATATATTGATGTTTTTTCTATTTATCTGTATAACCCTTTATAATATGAAAATATTAATATGATTATGTACGATTGAAAATTTTCTTCTTATTTGATATATTTATTGAATAATAATACAACATATTTTGTTGCAAAATTTTCTAAGACCCAAGATTTTAATATAAACGTATTTGATCATAAGAAAAGCAGAGAACTAATATTTTTAACCATCAAGCTTTTTTTTTTTTGATTAGTGATTTTTCGTTATCTCTTCTGAGATATTTCTATACGGTTCAAACAGCTTCTTATCCACATTCACCATTTTATTTTCAGCAATTAAACAAATTAATATATGATTAAAATAATTAGTCAATAGAGTGTGTGTGTATCTGTAGATAAACTATATATCTGTTTAAAAATATGGTTCTTCTCTAGATCGACGACATCCTATACGCTAATTGGTTTGGTTGACAATGAGGAATATCAAAGAGTATCAAAGTGATATTGTGGTCGAACTAGAGTAGCATCTACACTTTATTGACAAATAATAATGTGAAATGAATATTGAAAAAAGTTAATGATTAAAAATACTGTCGTCCATAAAAGCAGCATAAGAAAATATCTTTTTAGATAAATAGGTCGTTGTACGGCAATCAACCATGCAACCTTTGTCTAAATAACCTATATTGTTTAATGTAACAAAAACGTTATTGTGATAATTTACCTTTATGTGGATTAGTCATTAATTAATCAAAAATATCAGTGTTTTTTTAATTAAAGAATCTTTTGTTTATCACTTAGATAATCATCGAATAACGATTATAGGTACATTGTTATAGACTTTAAATAGCATTCGTATATTAATGAAATTGTTGAATACATATGTTGATATATCATAGCTAAACAACCTTGTGGATTGTATTATTCAATGTAAGCACAGACAATACTAGATTAAATAAAATTTTTAAAAATTTCATACAATACCAAATTTCTTTTACTTATTCTATAGAAGAATTAATAATAAAAATGATAGTCTTTCAAAGATTTATTTAATAAGATTAACAAATGAATTTCACAAATCAATCGCAAAAATCATCATAGTTCGTTTAAATGTTTTTTTTTTAATAAAAGAGCGAAAAATAATATTATTTCATATATGGATTGCAGAATATAATAAGTTATAAAAATTCATGTCATTTAATTCATTTTTTCAAGTAGAAAATTTATTAAAATACTTTTCACATTTGTTCTTAAATGATAACAGCAAATTTTTAACTCTCTTACATAATTTTGTACACGTGCAATACTATTCTCTTTGTTCTCCGCCTCTTTTCTGTTAATGTAAACGAACTACGTAGATATCAGCTCATACATATTTTAAAATGATAAGAATGAAAATAACGTCATAATCAGTATTGATCATTATTCTAGATTTCATCTTTCTTTGATATATATTTTATCGAAATAAAAGAAAACAGTTTAACTACGCATTTTGTCAAAATGACTTCAGCTTATTTATATAAACATAGACAAAAAGAGAGAGAAACATGGTTGTCACGTGTTTATAAATTTTCATCTTTCTTTTTCACAATTCTGTCTACTTTGTACATTTCTATTTAATAATATTTAGGAAAACACAAAATATACAGTAAGAAAGATTTCTTTTTTAATTTTTGATCCCTTGATTTTCTTATGATATCTATTGAATATGAGTAGTTATGCAAAAAAAAAATACCCATTTTTTTAATCATATGTACATAATTTTAAAACAGTATGATTAAACCTTACAGAATTTAATTTTTTTTCTCTTTTTTTAAGCATAATCTCTGCAACAATAGTTGCTAACATGCTGAAATTTTTTATGGAGACAAAAGCCTATCGAATTCTATTATTAATGAAACTTTCAATCGGTTTAGCCCAACTTAACTAGAGTTATTAAGAAAATAGAGGGCCCGAAAAATTTTTTATGAAATTGAATTTTTTTTTTTCAACTACTTTAAAGATTTTAAATTTTTTATCAGCGGAAATGTTACACAAAGAAATGTTCTAGATGAAAATTGTGCAATTTTTGACGAATACTCAGAAGTTTTTCTTAATCTCTAACAAATGTGCTTTGTTTGATTAATAGTTTGAAAATACTATCTATCAGAAAATTTCATCTTTTTTTTAAATATGCATTTAGAACTAGAATAAAATTAGAAGCTAACATATATTTGTCATTACTATCAAATCCTACTCGAAAAGATAGATTTTTTAATCAAATTTCTATGAAAAAAAAACCGTTCGACACAAGAAATTTTGAAAAATTAAATTTTCGATTTTATACAACACACACTCGATACTGATTTCAATTATATGGGTATTTAAGAAGAAAAAAACAGCATTTTTTTAGTACAAAAATGTTCAATAGTCAAAAAAAAAAATTTTAAATCCTAATTAAATTATATGATATTGTATATTTAGAAAGCTGAGACGAAAATTAGATAAAATGAGTGTCTTTTATGTGATTGTGCCATTTTCCTTCTCAAAATTGTGAATATACGGTCGATGACAAAAGTTTAAGCAAATTTGTTTCTTTTCTTTTTTTATACATTTAAAGTTGTCAAATTTTTTTTTCACATGAAGAGGTACTGATCTGATTCAAGCGGTGATCTCTTTAATTTCTACATATTTCCAATACTACATAATGTAGTCGGCCTCTCTTACTATTTATATCACCACTTGAATCAGATCAGTATCTCTTCATATGAAAGAGAAACCGAAAAAATAAATATGTAAAAAAAATTGAAAGAAACAAATTCGGTTAAACTTTTGTCGCCAACTGTAAGTTTAAAAAGAAAATACCCTATGAGACAGGTTTTTTCTAACAGAATTTTATTAAAAATGTACACAAGTTATGAACGTAATAACTTGATTGGTAAACATTCTGTATGTAAATCAAATGATAAATGAGCACGATTATTATCTATTTACTAAGATATAATTGATAAATTTTGGTTTATTAATCAATAATTTTTTAAAGTATTTATTTCTCTATTAAAGATTTTTCAATGGGATATTCTAAGAAAGATTCCATATATATGATACGATAAAGGTTATTTAGAAATAGAGATACTTTTATTTCTTACACTATCAAAGAATGCTCTTTCCAATAGTAGATCCAGCTTTTTTTATTTCTGAGCTCGAATCTACGACAGGTGTGTAAGGTGCTTAATATTTGATCAGGTGAATGAATGATATTTTACATTTACGTTTGAGAAAAAAATTGATCAAAAATTTTTTGTCGCCGTAAAATGATACGTAAAATTGATTGTTTTTGTTTATAAGATAATTCTTGATTAAGAATATGATTATTAAAATTAATTTCAATTCGATGACATGAACATTTATTAGTATAGTCAATTTTTTCAAGTAAATCATTAATATTTGGTTTCATACCTAATTCATTTTTATCTTTAAAATATATATAAATTTTATTTGAAAGATTTAATGATTGACATGAAATTATTGTTTTATCAATAGATGATAGAGATGTATTTGTTGTATTATTAGATGAACATTTTAAGTTTATTGTAGGTTTAAAAGAATCAAGAATACGTTGAATTAATTCACTTTTTGTTGTTTCAATACTTTTTGTATTTGATGATGAAGATAATTGACTAGATGTATTTGAAATTTGAATATCAGATTTAGTTAAATTTTGTTCAGAGATTCTAGAGAAATATATTTAGAAAATGAAAATCAATCATGTTATACTAATACTTATGATCAAGAGTGGAGAGTTCAAGAGAGTTTGTCGTTAGATTTGTATTATTTTTATTTTCTTTCGGATAGATAGAAGACTAGAAAAATTGATTTTTAGTGTAATTTTTGTAAGATTTTTCTGTTACTATTGGAATACCGATAATGATTCTTCAGGTTGTATTAAGAAATTTTGTTCGATTCTATTTTGTTTCTTAATTTGATCATGTGAAGCATCAAGAGAATTTATTGGAAGTAATTTCCGATATTTATTATTTTCATCTAGAATATATACAATGAGTATGTTATATTATAATAAACAAAAAAATTATTATTTTTAATCATTACATATATCGGAATCTTTATCTTCATTAGACATTCTATTACGAATATGTCATAATCAGTCATATTAAGAAAATAAACGGCAAATAAATTTCATTCATGTGATATAAGGCGCCTTGTTCTTGGCGCTTTCAATGTATTGTAAAAAAAAAAATAATCAACAAGATGTTATATTATTTAATTTTATAGCAAGTACTTTAATAAATAGTTTTCTGTATAGATTGTTGATGATAATGATCTTTTTATGAGACACCATTTTGTCAGAAGAATTTTGATATTTATTGATTTTCATTTTAGATTGAATAAAAATGATGGCTAATGATGAACGAAAATTAGCTACATCATCACTCATACCATTAGAGATCGATCCTGGTAAAAAAAAAATAACGATTTAACGTATTTTTCAACTTTGATAAACATTTTAGCAAGTATATTGAGTTTATCAAAAGGTGTTATATTTGATACAATTGTTCATAATGTTGAATATACATTCAATAATCGACGTACAGATCCTTTACCATGGAAACTTGTTGGAATGTCTCTCATATGTGATCCAAGTCGAAATAAAAAATATATGCAAAAACTTCAAAAAATGCAGGTAAATCACAGATTAACGTTCAGAAAGTCTTTTTGATAGAAAATTTTTCATTCTACAAAATTCTTGCGTTTGTTTTTTCTAATAATTTTCATTGTTTAAACGAAATTTAAAATGTTATAGTCCTTTGATCTCGAATTCAAGTTCAAATTTTGATGTTTTTGGCTTTTTTTTCTACTTTGTTTTTGTATGCAAGAAAAGTTACTTATTATGTATTAAGGTCATAGTCACATAGTTGCTACGACTCACTAGAATAAGTGCTATTGTAAAAGGTGATAGTTATAATGAATAGAAGTAATGACTCATTTTGATGCATTCGTGACACTTACCTAATCTTGATTTTTGTTTTTGTTTATTTTGATTTCAGCTTATACATCGTAGCTATTTTTAGTAATAGCGATTTACCTCATTGTTCTTATTCATATATAGTGAAGGACAAAAGATTAGAGCAGTTGTATTTTTGAGTTTTCTTCTCAATGGCAATAGCTAGGAAGAATCCGAAAAAACATTTGAGTAGCGGAAAGAGTTCTCTATCAAGATTGGTGGATCTGAAAACTCTAATACAACGACTTGAATGGAGATTTCTCAAGGGGAAAACGACGTACTCCCATACTCTGCACAGTTCGTATAGTCCGACTGAACTCTGTGGACTCCCGAAGTACAGGGAGTACAAAGGGAAACGAGGTACTCTTGTACTCCTGGGACTCCCACTGTACTTCCAGAATCCAGGGAACACAGAAGTATTGGAATAAGTCGTTTCTCCTTCAGGATTTTTGGAAGACCAAGATCCGACAAAACCAGTTTTATGGCATCCATTTGAAGCTTTTTCAAAATGATTTCATTGATAGAGCAAAATGAGATGTCTTGACTTTCGTCATGACTTCTCTTCATCGAACTGCATTCAATTTATAGAAGATCCAAGAAGTATTTTTCTTTTGTTTTTATAAAAATTTCAGTGATGTCGCTGTGTTTGATGCTTTGAGACCTTCTATATACTAAATGCAATTCGATGAAGAAAAATCATGAAGAAAGTCGAGACATCTCATTTTGTGCTATCAAATAAAACCATTTCCAAAAAGCTGCAAATGGATGCCATAAAACTAATTTTAGGAGTCTTAATTTTCCAGACATCCTCATCCAAGCAATTTTATTGGAGTTTTAGATTCACCGATCCTAATAGAGAATGCTTTCAGCTACTCAAATGTTGTTTTTTTTAGATTCCTTCTTGCTATTATCATCGAAAAGAAAACTCAAAAATATATCTGCTCTAAACTTATGCCCGTTACTATAGTTGTAAAAGAAAAAGAGATTAATTTCCAAACTGAATGTTTACTAGCGATGGTGTTGAGTTTGACGACTGTGAGATGAGATGATCAGAAAAAGAAGTATACTTACTCATAGATACTCTAACAGCTTATTAATGATGATCTTTTGCCAAAGGAACCTATACATCGTATTAAGAGTGTAAAGAACTACGAAGTAGCCGATAACAGTGAAGAACTTTTAATAAACATAAATCAGTCTTCGGCATGGATTAAATTTTTGTGACTCAACCCGATTTGAGCTGGAATATAGTATCGACCATTCTCCTTTTTCTCTTGAGAGAATCAATTTCTCAATCTTTTTTTTTCTTCCTTTCATTTCGTAGTTGAAAAAAAAGATATGTCCCTGACATTTCGCCGATATTCCGCAATTAGGACAACACAGTCATGTGATAGAATGTTTTCTTGTTTGTCTTTCTTTTCTTATGTATACAACCTGCAACCTATATGGGACCATGGACCATACAATGCACTAGTTATGCGTCGTTGTCCAAAGTCAACAAAGAAAAGTCAGTGGAGTAGAAGAAAAGGTAGTGTAATACATAACTCCTTCTTTTACCAAGCTTTTCTACGCTCTCTTATAGAACTTTTAAATGAAAAAAAACCATTCCGAGTGTCTTTTTAATCTGCAAAATGTTCAGACTTCAGATCTATCCTAAAGTTCAAAAATATTTTCGTAACCCAATCTCATCCGACCTGATATGTACTATGATGTTTTTGTGACTCGACCTGATCCGACCCAACTCGAGGTCTGACTCGAGTTAAACACTGACACAAATGTCGAGAGCAACACTTCTGGACTTGATGATTAGCATTCTAAGTGGACATTATAAATCCATTATCATCTATGTGAAATATATAAATCTGAAAAGTATATGTCACACTTTTTTTAAACACATGTTTTCCTTCATTCGTTTTATTAATCCATTTCCATAATCTGTTAGTAATATTATACCATAATATAGTCTATAGTGTCTTCTAGTGAACATTCAAGTATGATGATCAAATAATAAAAATTCGTTTCAGAAGAAATGATTAAACAAATAATTCCTCAACATGAATTTTAAGACCAAAGGACTATCACATTTACTCAATCATGCAATTACGATAATCAAACAAATGGGAAAAATGAAGAAAACTTCTTTTAACAATAGTTTGCTGAATTTTCAAATATGTCAGTAAAATTCTGCATCTTTCGATATATGTTTCAGAGTTCTACAAGAAATATTTATGAAAAAAATCTTGAAATAATCAATGAGAAAACATTGGACAAAACCCTTATCGGACAAGATTATGTGATTGTTCTTTTTTCTAATTCGATACACCCTAATTTCGTTTGTACTCTTCAACTTAGAAGTCACATCATTTTGTTTACAATTAAATTCTACACCCAAAAGTGCAAGAATGATTGTTTAATATATCAAGTGTTGTTTTGAAAAAAAAAGTATTTTTCTGAGATGCGTACAAAAACACCCACTAAATGTTAATTGCACGCTATTTTTTCTCATAAATAATACTAGCAGAAATCTTGAAAAGATGGTGGCAGTAGTAAGCACAAAATTCTATATCCATGGATGCTAACTACGTTACTTTTTGGATTAGTCTTGATGAAGAAAGACTGAAGAATATAGCAGTTAGACGATTAAACATGTGTTCATACTTTTGATTTTTACTGCAATAATAAAAACTTACGCAACAATTTTGTAGAGTGAAAAACTCTCTATCAGATAATTTCCTGAGAGTATATTTGAGTAGAAAAAAAAAGAAAATGATTTTTGTTTCATTTAATCTGTACCACCACCTCTCATCATATCCATTTGAATTTTATCTATTTTGTTAATTTGTAAGTCAATAAGATGTATCGTATTCGATGAATATACAATGATTCTAATTCTCAATTACCTTAGTCACTATCTGAGAACAGAGCAAAAACACTCTCGATTTATTATTTTCCTTTTATATATACAGATGATAAAGTATCTCAATGAACATATTAGTAAATCGGTTGTGAATGGTGTTTTGTTTTTCTGTTAGAAACTAGAACTTATTTTTCGTTGTTTTCAATATCTAAACTAGTGTGTTCCATCAGTTATATGTACACAAATATATCATTCAAAACTTGTAAAAACAGAATCCGGTGCATTGACAACACCAGGACGAAAAATTGTTATTCCAACTGTTCTACGTAAACGATTAACAGGTATTATTATCTGTCGCTCAATCGATGAATTATTATATATGGAATCTTCAAATACAGAAAATGTTCATTTTATACAATATAAAGTAAAGAATTTTTCTTTTATTTGATAAAGATATAATTTTATTTATTCATAGTTATTATCTTATGAACGTATTGCAACACGTGAAGTTGTAAATGGACCAAAATTACCATCAATTGGAGATAAAATTATTGTAGAATTATTATAATCATAATTGATTAATGATAGAAAAAACTTTTTTTTTGTGTTAATTTAGAAAACAGTTTTTGATTTTGAACTAACTCAAAATAATGGTTTTCCACGACAATTATTACCTGTTGCAATAATATCATTTGCAAGACAAGAAGGTTGTGATTTATGTTTATCAATTCGAAATTTTCTTAAATTAGATGAACATAAAATATTCGATAAGTAAGAAAAACAAACGATGAAGAAGACTACAGCAATTATCTTATTTTTTTAAAATTTAATTCATATGAATAGATCATATCTTGTAACATCAACAAATGTTGAATTCGATCGTTTACGTGAAGAACAAGAAAGAAAAGAAGATGCCGAAGCTGAACAAGAAGTAGCTTGGGAAAAAATTCAACCACGACAACCACTTGCTGATTTATCGAAAAAGACTACCGGTATTATTCAATCTTCATATCTCTTTTTTTCTTCGTTTTTATGAAACACCATCTAAAAATATTGTCAAAACATATGTGTAAAAAAACGTGGTTTCTCCCTCCACAAACTGTGACAGACGCTAGTCAAATAGAGATCTGCAAGAACACTCTTAATTCCAGTCATCGGATCCTGAACCAACAGGAAAAAAAGCTACCGAGACTGGGACTAGATCAGATTTATTGGGACTATGACTGAATCCAATGAAAATAAGTTACTGGGACCAAAAAAACTTGGTCCCCTCCTACCGCATCTTTAGTCACAGATTGTAACAGATATTGTTCATACACGATCACAGACCATATATTAATAACGTCTCATTAAACTACTTTCTTATTGCATTTCTGAATGATTAAATAAAAGAATGGTGAAGAGGTGTGTGTCCCAAAAGACATAGAATAAAATGATCTCCCTATGATTAACAACAAAAGTTGGATCATGTTTCATATTTTAATCCCACATGTGTTGTGTTAACAGTATTTTTAGTATATTTATTTCTGCTTGTAGATACTGGAAATGCTCGATCAACATCGACACCACAACCACATCCACGTATACCACCTTTGACAATAAAAATTCATCGTCCACCAGAACAACCATTAAAACCAGTTGTTTCCAGTGTACCACTTGATTTAAAATTTCAATGTTTAGTTAAATTGGATAGAATTGATTTATCTATGTATAATATTAGTAATTTATCAACTATATCACAAACAAAAAATAAAAAGTCAAATGAATCATCAATATCATCAGATGTAATCAATAATAAAACAAAACCATTTACTATTAGTAAATCACATGAACACCATAAACCATTGAAACGTTTAAATACTTCAGAACCAAAAAAACAATTAACTCGTTCTTCCGAAGTTTCCAAAGAAAAATCTAATGATAAATCACTATGTATTCGTTTATCAACAAATAATATAACTAGATCATTGACTAAAGATACAATAAATAGAAGTTCATCATCTATTTCGTCAATGTCATCAATATATGCTCCAAAACGAACAGGTTTGTTTAAAAAAAAAACCTTCTATTGGTAGAAAATTTGTCTATGTTTTTTTTTCGTAAATATTTTATTTTAATAGTTGAAAAAGATGTACCCAAAAAGAAAGTGAAACGACCAATTTTACCACCTGAATATCGTTGTTCAATCTCATTGTCACGAATTGATTTATCCATGTACAATCTTGATTTACCCGCTATTGTTACTTCATCTAGTCCTTCTTCTATGGATATCGAATCGATAGTGACAAGTAAAATGATTTCTATTTAAATAAATTTTATACTATGATTTTCATTTTTAGCATCGCCATCTGATTCAACGTTATCTGGACAACAAGAACAATCTGCAAATGTACCAGTCGAACAAGAAACTGATCAAGGTAAACAATATATGATTGAAGTTTAGTGTGAGATGATTTTCTAGATATATAGTGTCCGGAAAGTAACTAAACAAAGAAAAATTTGAATATCTCCGCCATATTTCGATTATATAGGCTGATATTTTTACTACTAATACAATAGTGTTCATAGTTCATATTCATAAGAGAAATATTGTTAAAAATCCTTTTTGAAACATTTACAACTGAATTTAACAAAGAACTGTAACGTTTTTACAAATTATGAAAAAAAGAAATTTATTCTCTTAGCCAATAATAAACAACATCTAATTTTTTTCGATTAATTCTCCACAGTAGTGTCGCTCGGACTCATATTTATATTACAGATTAGAGTGCGGCAGTTCAATAAAAAACTCGAACCGAAACTGTGGAAATAAGTACTGTAGAGCCGTTAAAGGAACTGAAACCACTAAATCGTTCGATCGACAGAAAATCCTTCAATCAATATCGAAAAATCTTCATTTTTTCATGCTTGAGATGAAAGATGTCCCTATACCGTGGGTACCAAAATTATTCAACAAGATTTAGTTTCAACTTTTTTCTGCTGCTGTAAACTCTAGAAAGAATCGAAATAGTGATTTGAATAGAGAAAATGATTTCCAACAATAATATACGAAAATAAAAATTACTAGCCGATTCCCAAAAAAAAAAAGGATTTTAAAAAACCAAAACTTTAGTTTTTCAACGCCTAGAGCGTGTAAATGTAATTTTGTTTAGACTACATAGAATGGTAGAGTAAATAATTCTCTACAAGATTAGACGTCTCCGAATTTTCTGCAACACTTTTTAACTAAAACACAGTCATTCAACAGAAATCTCTAAAGCTGTTTTTCTTATAGAAAGGCCATTTTTTGACCTTCAATCAAATTGCTGTACCAAAGCTGAAAAATTGTTGCAGAAACCTCGAAGATGTCTCAGTTTATAGAGAACTGTTTGCTCTATCATTCTATGTAGTCTAAACAAAATTATATTTACGCGCTCTAGGTGCTGAGAAAGTAGGGTTTTGCTTTTCTGGAATACCTATTCTTGAGAATCTGATAATCATTTTTATCTTCTTATATGCCTGTTGAAAACAAATTTCTCTACTCAAATCACTATTGGAATTCTTTCTAGTGCTTACGGCCACGGAAAAAATTGAAAATGAACCTTGTTGAATAATTTTCGTGTCCACTGTATATCTATAACGTTGTTTTGCTTAAGCACTGAAATATGTAATATATTTAATCTAAATAAATCAATAGTGAAAGTTTCTCAAAATAGATTTAAAATTTTCATACCTATCTGTTGATTGAACGATTTCGATTCCACATGACACTTTGGGAACCGGACTGGAACTCGAGTAATTTTTGAAACTGTTGAACTTTAATCAGTGGTAAAAATATCAGTCCATATGGCGGAGATATTCGAATTTTAATTACTTTTTGGAGACCCTATGTTTTATCTTAATCACATTATTCAGATAGACAATTTCTAGTAGCAGAAAAATATTTTCGAGAAAATAAGAAAACTAATTGAAATTATGTCAGTAATGATAACTTTATTTCTTTACAATTATTAAAAACAATTGTTATCATATTTTTTCTTCTATTATTGCTTATATAGATTATGAATTTTATACTTTTATTTCAGATACTATTCAACCAATGTTTACGATGGGACAAGAAAATGTTGATGAGTCCGAGCAAGAAATAACTTCCGCTATTAAACAATTTAATGATATAAATACGAATGAAACTTTACAACCTATCATTGATGAATATCTATTATCAGATATTAATGAATCGTCATCAATTACTACTAATACCGTTCTACCATTATCTACGATCGAAATTTTACAACAAACGACCAATGAATCTATACTACCTATAATCGAAGAAATTTCACCAGTATCTACAAACGAAAATCTACCACAAACTACCGATGAATCTATATTACCTATAATCGAAGAAATTTCACCAGTATCTACAAACGAAGATCGACAACAAACTACGAATGAATCTATATTACCTACAATCGAAGAAATTTCACCAGTATCTACAAACGAAGATCAACAAAAAACTACCAATGAATCTATACTACCTAAAATCGAAGAAATTTCACCAATACCTACAAACAAAGATTTACCACAAACTACGAATGAACTTGTACCAACTGTTATCGATAAAATTCCATCCGAGCCTATGGAAGATACTAATGAAGTTCTCTTACCTACTACGAATGAAGTTGTACCAACTATTCAAAATGAAGAAAATATACAATCAATATCACCTTCTCCACGTGTTAGTTATTCTCCAGAATTACCACAACTGGATGATGATCCAGTAGTATTTTCACTCGATAGTTTACAAATTCCAGTAACTGATACTTCGGATACAATTCCACAAGATTGTATTATTATTGTACCATGTTCAGATGACGACGATGATCTTGACGATGAAGAAATCAATAAAAATAATATTAATAAAAATGATACAGATAATAAAACTCTCGAATCTTTATCTTCACCATTTAAAATGAATATATCTCCTATTTTATCTAATCCATCATTAAAACGTGGTAAACTATTTTTATTCAATTAATTCATTTTTTTTTCTATATTATTTATTCTTTTTTTAAGTTCTAACAAATACAAGTTCTTTAAATTCTCATCGTTCATCAACATCATCATGTTCATCAATATCTGTAATTTTAATTATATAAATTTTCTTAAATTTTTTTTTTTTGTTATCAAATATTTTTTAGACATCTATTTTTCATAATCAAAGTCCTCGATTACCACTTCCTTTAATTGAAATTATCATACCACAAAAAATTTTAAATAAAAAACAACATAAATTAAATCAAACAATAACTTTTAATCGATTTAATTTACATATACCATTATTTGTACATGAACCATTAATTGATCCTCGTTTAATATATCGTTTACAAACTCTAACAACAGATCTTCGTTGGCCTAGTTCTTGTAATCAATGTTCAATATCAGCACAACTTTCACCATTATTTCATTCTTCAACACAAATGATATCATATGAACAAAACTATTTATCAGATTTTATTGATCCACGTCGTGAATCATTAAAACAAGCTATATTAAATATTATATATCAACGTATAAAAATTTTAGTACCTCATATGTCCATCATGCATTCGAATCAATTTCAAAAACTTTTATTTGAACAAACTATATTTAAAACCAATTGTTCAATACATCTTGAATATCTTTTACATAAAATAAAAATAATTGATGATATAAATTTTTTTCATATGATTAAAAATCATGAAGAATTTCAATTATCATCTTCTCTCTTACAACTTATTTTTACTTAAAATAATTCATTGTATTCAATGAACATAAACAAAAGTTATATATATATATATAAATATAGCTTTTTTTGCTATGTATATAAACTTTAGTTATTTCTAGACAAAACATTTTTTTCTATGTTCGTTTCGACAGTTAACGTGCATTATAATATAGATATATATATATATATACGTGTGTAATTGTGTGCGTATGAAAAAGTTTGTTATTTTTTTCTTTTTTTTTTGTTATTGTTGTTCTTGTTCTTGCTAGACTGAAAGTCTTTCCATAGATTTCTATTCTTTTGTTCTTTTTTGCTTAGTTTAGTTATAAAAAGAAAAAAAAAACAGTACTGAATAATAAACATCATATAAAAAAAATGCTTTCTTTTGATTACGTGATGAAAGTTGTCTTTTGTTTGTGTAGATAAGAAAGTATTTAATATTTGGTGGCTGATATTTATAAAGAAAAAAAAAGAAAAATAAGTTTTTTTAATAGTTCTGGTTGTAATCATACTTTTTTAAAAGAATTTTGTCTTGACGGCGAGAAAACAAAAAATTCTATATATGGGATCATCATTTCACAAACTTTCTCAATTTTCTGGTATTAAATATGACTAAGCAGAATTTTTTTCTACGTTATAATGCTTTATAAAAAAAAAAAAGGTAAAATAAAACAAAAGTCAAAACTAGAGATCGTCGAATAATAACTTTGTCTACGGAGTAGTTTTGACTTATCAATGAATATCACCTTCTTGTTCTGCTTTTCTTTCATCTACAAATTACTGCTGAAGCTGATAAAGTTTGTCTTGGGTCAAACAGTCATTTCTTCTAGTTTTCCTTTTCTGCATCTTTAACTTTGTATGATATTCATCAACGACGAAATATAAAATCATGAACAATACTCATCTAACACGAGCAGTTGTTAAACACAATACACTTGAAGAAATAAGTCATTATATTTATGCTGTTATTTATCCTATCATTTTTATACTTGGTATCATTGGTAATTTACTTTCATCATTACTTTTCTCTATAACTACACTTAATCGTACATCATGTGGTGTCTATTTTCTTTTACTTGCTGTATACGGTTCAATTGCATTACTTGGTGGTCTTCATCATTGTTTAACGATTGGTTATCATGTTCCAGTACCTACTGCTACCTACTGTCGTGCTCGTAATTTTCTTTTATATATGTCTATGGATATGACTTCATGGATGATAGTAGCTATATCAGTTGATCGTTATCTTAAAGTAAAATTTCCAATTAAAGCACGAATATATGCTACACAAAAATTAGCAATTATTATTTCATGTATAATAACATTTGTTTTTATTATAAAAAATTTTCATTTAGCAACAGTTTTTATCGGAGATTTTACAGATGATGCTGCTGATAATTGTGATCCAAATCCAGATTATCCTAAATATGCAGCATTTTTTAAAAATATTTGGCCATGGATTGATCTAACAACATATGCTTTATTACCCTTGCTTATAGTTACATTGTGTAATGGATTTATAATTTATGATCAATATAAACGACGTGTAAAACTTCGTAAACGTAATCTTGATCGTTCATTAATAACATTACTTTTAGTTAGTTCTATTTCTTTCATTGTTTGTAATCTTCCAATAACAATTTTAGCTGCGATTTATCCATATATTTCATTGTCATATGACACAAATGTAAAATATGATGGAGTTGCATTTGCATATGATCTTTTACGAATACCATCTTATGCATCATTTGCATTAAATTTTTATTTATACTATTATACATCAAGTATATTTCGACAACAAGCAATTCTTTTATTTAAACGTATATGCCGAATTAAATCCAATACAAATGATATTGAATTATTAGAAAGAACAAATGCAAATGAAAATCGTTATGAACAGAGACTTTATTCTATTGAAGAACCTGATGACTATCAACAAACATCAGTACCATCATTGACAAACAGTAGTTTTATTTCGAATTTTTATCGTCAAGAATAATTGAATGATTATTATTCATGTATAGTTAACTTTTAGTTTTTATATATTTATAAAATATTGTAATAAATTTCAACTATAAATAGTATTTTTCTCATGTGTATGACATGACATGACAAGAATGTATTTAAGAAAATAAATACCAATTTGAATATATAAAATTGGAAATTTCTCGTTGTCCTTCAGACTACAAATTAGTTATAAATGATCATATCCTATATTTAATCTAATCTAGATACCAGTGAAAACTGTTTCTGATCAAAATTTTATATGAGAGTCGTTCAAGAAGTTCCAAGATGGATTTTACTTAAAAACAGCAAAAAGCGCTACTATTTTGGAATTGTTGTCTATTCGCAGTTAATACAATGCTCTAACTGTTGACGTAATGAGTTTTAATCGTTTTAAATAGTTATATACTATAATAAGATTTTTTCTTCATCACATCTACTTAGATACATAGATGCAAAATCAAAACCTTGAACATTATTCAGTAATAAAGTTTCTTATTTTGGAAGACGCATCACCATCCAATATTTGCTAGTATATGATGGAGTTTATAATGAACATGCTCCATCATGCACCAGGGTATTCGAATGGGCTCATCGCTTTACAGATGGACAATTAAACATCAATGATGATCATAGGATGGGTCGATTAATTACTGCAATGGACTAAACAATTGTTAAAGCTATTGAAACTCTAGTCATCGAAGACCGTCAAATCAGAATTCAGCAAATAGCGGATACTCTAGGCATTTCATTGGATGCCGTACATGGCATTCTTGAATGATCAGTTACAAATGATTAAAGTCTGTTCAAGATGGATGCCATATTTACTAACAACTGATCAACGAAACGAATGTGTTTAAGCATATCAAGAATCTCTGGCTTGCAAATCTACTGAAGAAAACGACGTTGTTTTTCGAATTATAACTGATGATGAATCTGAATCAAAACAATCATCATAGGCAATAGAAACAAGCTGATTCACCACCAACAACAATAAAATTGAGAGAAGAAAAGTCTGCTAGCAAAATTTAATATTCATCTTTCTGAATCATTAAGGAATAATTCTCAAACAGTTCATACCACTGGGCTCGACAATCACTAAAGTATATTACACATATCTTTCGGTAAAAGACTTTTATTCAGAAATTAGAAAACAACAATAAGTTTTAATTTTGACTGCTGTCATTTTGCAACATGACAATGCTTCGTTATTCACTCTATTCTTCAAATCTAGCTCCTGATGATTATTTTCTGTTTTCAATTTTAAAGAATCAATTCAGAGAAAGACTTTATAATGACTGAAGTTCATTAGGTTCATTATTAGATCAGTGTCGGAATTGTCGATCTGAAGACGACTTCACAGTAGCCATACAAAAACTGCAAGAACGTTGTCAAACGTGTATTGTGGGTTAGGAACAATACTTTGAAAAAGAAAATATACATTTATAATTATAACTCACTTAGTTTTTTTTAAATCAAATCATTCTCAAAACTTTTTGAACGGCCTATGCATTCTTAGACTCTTTCGAAAATAGTCAAGTATATTGGTTTTTTTTACCTTGTCAAACACGAACAATCATGAATGTTTCCCTGTAATCTAATAGTTCTAGATTCATTGTCTTATAGACATCGTTTAATGCCACTAAATGCATATTAATGATCGCATATATAGTTCTAATAATCTCAATTTATTAAAACAGTTCTACCATTTTAAATATAAAAATCAATGCTACAACATTCTTGTTTTATAATTCAATTAGCTTTCATATTTCGCATTCTATTCCCAATTAGAACTGCAGCGAAGAGTTTCTAAATAGATATTCAGATTTTTTTTTTCTTGCTGAAAATTAATAAATCTTTAATGGGAATTGAAAAAGACGTCTATACAGAATTTTTCATGTAGCTCATTTTAGTAATTTGATTAAAACTACCTTAATTCAAACTATAAAAAAGTCTTGTTATACACTGATTTATCGAGCAAGGCTTGGTCTACCGAATGTTCAATTTGTTTATCCTTTGATATATTGCTACAAACAATCGAAATCTGTTGTAGTTTATATAGCGAAATTCAAAAAAAAACCATTTTTTTTGAAAAAGTGTCATCTCATGTGAAGAGCAATAATTCGACAAATGTTTATAGATTTCGATTCTTTTGACTTCTAACTTATTGTAACTCATGATTTTACAGAAGATTAAATTTTCTACGAAAACAGAGGGTCAAAGCTACCTTATAATAATCATCGAGAAAAGTAATGTATGACAGATAAAAAAATCTATTTAATTTCGTGCAAAAAACATTGTTAGTTTTTCAGATATTTACTAACAAAGAACCAGTCATAGGTCAAAAAAAAAATCTAAACATATATTTAGAAAGAGCATCACATTCTGGTTCTAAATGGCTACTCTTGATTTCTTTCAATGATCGATAGGTGTCTAAAAAAATAAGCAAAAATATTTCACAAAACCATTTTATTTAGCTTTTTATACAAACGTCGTTAATGTTTGCCCCCACATTAACCATGTATTCACAATCAACTAACTTCAAGACAGATAAAAAAGCTGTTTGTGTAATCTCTGCGAGATTCAAATATAAAACTCGATGTAGCTTCTGTCGCTAATTACAGAGGATTATTTTATTCTATCTATTTTGAAACATATTTCTTCTCCATCCTTTTACTGAATCCTCTAGAAATGTAATAAGCAAGTAGTTTAACGAGACGTTATTGATATATGATCTGTGATTATATATCAATAACATCTGTCACGATCTGTGACGCGAGCAGAGTGCTGTTCAGGCAGCGTCACAGTCTGTGACGTTCATATAGTTACGTCTCTTACGATCTTTGATAGTCTTGGACTAGCATTCGCCATGGTCTGTCGAAGGAAGGTTTCACATTTTCACTTTCATACGTCAACACTGCTATTCGATTGCGTTTCACAAAATTCTGAATATATATTTAGAAAAGCATGCAATTCTCTCGATTGTCTTAGAAGTAGACGAAAAATTGAACAGATATGCTGTGCAAAGACTTTTTACGTAAACATTTAATCTTTAATTTTATGTTTTTTTATAAATATAAATATAAATATAATTTAGTTTTCGACTATATATCGAATAAGTCCATCATAAGTTTTATGCATTTTTTTATTATGAAATTTAGCATAAACAATCACTTCTTGTTCTGGTACATTAATTCGTTGTCTAAACATATCATTTTTTAATGGAACTTCATCTGACCAAACACCATCAAGTGAAATTCGTGCACAAGATGCATGTGGAATACGACAACGTATAGTTACTTTCGTACCACGTTTAAGAATCCCATTAAGTGGTGATAAAATTTGACATTTATATTCAGTAAATTTTCCAAAAGTCATTGGTAATATTTTACCTTTAATTAAATCATTTGAATGTACATTTACTCCTAATTCAATAACATTTTTCAATAAATTTATTGTTGATATTTGTTTAGCAAAAATAATTAATGTATGAAAACCACTTTTATGTGGTGCAAATAAACATTGCCATACTTGACGACTAATATCATATTGAGTAAGACTAGTACTTCGAATATCATCTTTAATTGAACATGTTAATTGAATATCATCTGGTGCTTGTATTAATACTTCAGCAAATGATTGATTTGTATTATAAGAAACTATACTTGAAAAACGTGGAGAAATAATATTAAGATTATATGTAAAATAATATGAATGTATATGTGGAAGATGAATATAATCATCCATAGTAATTGGTTTTGAAAGTAATTGCCATTGAGATTCTTCTGGTAAATGATTATAAATCATATGTTCAGGATGAGTTAAAAAATAATGAGTTTTAAGTTCTTTTTTATATTTATGATAATTATCAATATAACCAGTACCCCATGCTGAATCAATTAAATACCAATGATTATTATTTAATTGTACAGCATTCCATGTATGATTTATTTGAGAAAATGTTGGTTTATCGATTTTAAAAAAGAAATCTTTTGCATAACCACGAATTTTTTCACATGAAATATTAAGATTATCACATAAGATTTTAAAAATTGAAGCATAACCTTCACATGTACTTTTACCAGCACGAAAAATATCTTCTGCTGTTTGATATCGATGATGACTATTAAAATCTGTATCAATATCGTATTGAATATTTTGTGAAATCCAATAATAAATAACCCAAATACGATCAGTAATATTTTTTTCTACTGTTAAATCTTTGATTAATGTAATTAAATGATTAATAGATGAAACTTTCCATGAGTCAACTTTCTCACGATAAAATGGATTATCAATTATCATTTGACGTTTGTGACAAAATCTCATATCAAAAGCATTTGGATCCGAAGGGCTTATTTCAACAGAATGATAATTTCTTGTTAATTTTGTTGCGATAGTATCTTCATGAATTTTATTATCGTCTTCATTTTTGTGAATTAAATCAACAGATGATCTTTGATTTTTAGGTTTCCTTTTTGAATTTCTACTTCTCGAACGAGAATGACGACGAGAATGATGATAAACAGGAACAGGACTTAAAGGACGATATGGATTAATATATGCCGAAGCAAAATTAATAAATGGTGGTTTATCTTCAACAGATATCTTTTGATGATGACGTCGATTCTGTTCTAAACGAGATGGACTTGGTGTAGTTGTAGGTGATTTTAATGTATAAACTGGTACTGATCTTGGTCGAGTTCGACTTAATGGTACTGGTGCATGTATATCTTCGAGTTGAGTTGTTAAAGTTGAACTGATGACCATGTTTGTCTTTTTTTTTTTCGTTGTGTATGTATGTTAAAATTGCATAGAAACAATTGTCATTGTATATATTTATGTTCAATAAAAAAAATAGTAACGAATGGTTATGTCAACAATGTAACAAATAGTATTTCATGCATTGTTAAAAATATCAAAGAGTATGAAACAAAAAAAAAATTTAAGTCAAATTGACAAAACAAAAAAAAATACTGTCCATTACTTTTTTCGTTTTTACCTTAGGCTATATAATTATAAATGAAGTAAGTTGTCATTGTGCAAATGTTGATGGATTTTTTGTGTTTTCATCAGAATACTATTGAATAAAATCATTTTTAGACGTTATATATCAAACTATATATATAAAAAGAATAATCCAACGTAGTAGATAAATATCGACATGGTAAATTATGTGTATAATTGAGTATTAAGAAAAAAAGATTCATATAAACATACTTAAGTAAAGAAAGGACATTCTTATTAGAGATTTAACGAAGATGAACCTCAAAAATATCTTAAAACATTATAAGAATAATTAAAAAAGCTTATTAGTGCAGCCTCCTTGGAATTGACATGTGTTCTTTAGCCTTGTTATCTTACGGGATGGTCGAAAAGTTTCGAGCCCGCTCAGTAAATCAGTGATATCTATGACCAACATCTATACGGTTAATTGATCAAAATATGTAATTTTGTTTATCATATTAATCATTTTAATAGAATAATATTTATTCTATTTTCTGATTATGGTTGTAGTTTTATAACAGTGTATTGTTAAAGAATTTTATATTGACAGTCTTATTTTATGAATTTTACTGTTTTCAATTTATTCTGTAATATGTCAGTTGTCTGGATTTATCTTTCCGAGAGTTTTATTCAAACAAAGCTCAACATTCATTTCGAAGTCAAATAAATGATACATAATCAATAGGAAACTTGTGAGATATCATCCGACGAGATTTAAGTAAACATGAGGATGTCAAAAAAAACATTATTGATATATGAAAACATTTTAATGTTGAAAATCTGAGAAAATGATTAACAGGATTCCAAATAGGTTCAAAGCAATCATCCAAAAATAAGATCAACGCGTCATAAAATTTGATTATTGAAATTTATACAAAACGCCAATCTAATTAACTTATAAATCATTTAGATATTTTATTGGAAAAAAAAAGAATTTTTTAAAATTTTTCTCAAAAAGTTTAAGATGAAAATATTCACTCAAGATTAGTAAAATGGCCCTCATCTTATACGACATTTATGCATTTCGGAGTATCTTTTTTCTTAGATGATAACTCTAATCTTTCTCTACAAAATTACATATTTCAATCAATTAATCATAATTCAGTTTATTTGATTCTCCATTTCGAATAGAAAGTTTATTCTGTTTTTTGTTTGTCTAGTTGCTATTCGCTCGTTATATTTCTTTTTCTTGTTCTGAGTCTGTAACGGGAATGGGAGATGGAGTGCAAAACTTCGACTTAAAATTTACCCTCAATATTTTCTTCGAAAACATACATGAGTCTCGTAAAATGAGTAAGAAGCTACAGACGATTATCTTTATAACAATCAAATTGGAAAAGGAGACTGTATTAAATCATCCTAATAATGGGTAATGTCTTGACAAACTCTGAGTAAAAAATCATGTTCCATTAAGACTTAAGGTCACGTATATCAAACATTTTCAATAATTTTCCAACTAATATTTGAGAAATATAGTGAAAAATTATTCTATTAAGTACAGATGTGTATTATCAAGTACTAATTGATTTACACTTCGTATATATCAATACCACGTCATAAATGAAAATGTCATCACAAACCAATATTTTTGTTACAATAAATATTTATTTTTAAAATCTTTTTTAAAGTATGATCATGATTATGCCTTATAACATTTGTTTTAATTCACATGCTTTTCATGGTTTTTTTTTTGAAAATATTTTCATCACTGAATATCTAACCCAAAAAATAGAATGAATAAGACATATATTGACAATATAAAATCGAACTCTACATTAACATTCTCCACTCAACATGAATTCGAAGAAATAATTCGTTATACCTATATGATCGTTTATCCTATTATTTTTATCATTGGTTTCATTGGTAATTTACTTTCATCATTAATTTTCTCTACAACTGAATTAAGTCAAACCTCATGTGGTGTTTATTTTCTTTTACTTGCTATATATGATTCAATTGCATTACTTGGTGGTCTTCACCATTGTTTAACACTTGGCTATCATGTTTCAGTACCTAATGCTATTTATTGTCGTGCTCGCAATTTTCTTTTATATATATCTATGGATATGACTTCATGGATGATAGTAGCTATATCAGTTGATCGTTATTTTAAAGTAAAATTTCCAATTAAAGCACAAATCCATGCTACACAAAAATTAGCAATTATTATTTCATGTATAATAACATTTGTTTTTATTATAAAAAATTTTCATTTAGCAACAGTTTTTATCGGAGATTTTATAGATGATGCTGCTGATAATTGTGATCCAAATCCAGATTATCCTAAATATGTAGCATTTTTTAAAAATATTTGGCCATGGATTGATCTAACAACATATGCTTTATTACCTATTGTTATAGTTACATTGTGTAATGCATTTATAATTCATGATCGATATAAACGACATGTAAAACTTCGTAAACGTAATCTTGATCACTCATTAATTAGATTTCTTTTAATTAGTTCAATATCATTGATGATTTGTAATTTTCCTATGTCAATAACAATTGTTATTTTTCCATATGTTTCAACAAGTGATACTAAAAATAACTATTATGATGAAGTTAGATTTATATTTGATCTTTTACGACTACCATCTTATGCATCATTTGCATTCAATTTTTATTTATATTATTATTCATCAAGTTTATTTCGACAACAATTAATGCTTTTATTTAAACGTTTATGTAGAATTCAAATAAAATTTAATCACATTAGTATACGTAGGATGGAAACAGATCGAATACGATGTCCAAAACAACTGAATTTAAGAGAAGAACTAGAAGGAAAATAAACTTGACATTGTGACATATGTTCTCATTCGAACGAGTACGACCTCTATCGAATCTTTATTGTTATTTGTCAATAAAAAAACTGAAAATAAACGAGAAATGAGACACATTTTTTTATCAACAGATCTGTTTTCTTTTTCTATTTTTCATATTAAAGGTGTTTGCATATTCATTTCCATTTTCATTTTGTTTCGCTTGAGTAAATATTAGTTCTTTTTTTTTTTAACTTTAAGAAATGAATTTTCTTCTAATAACCATTTTCATTTCATTATTGATCTGTAAGTATATTTTATTAATCATGTTATTTTTAATTATAACTTTATCGAATTTAGATTCTATTGAAGCTGGCCAATATGAAGTACATAATCGGCCAAATTATTTATCATTAAATTCAAACAAAAATGATGAAAATTCAAATCAATTAACAGTATCAAATTTTGCTAATAATTTTGCAACGATTTTAGGTTTATCATCGGATCAGGTAGATAAACATTTTTATCATAGAATATTTTAATTTTTTTATTTGACTAAATAAAATAGACAGAAAAACAAGAAGAACCTATGTTTTATTCAACACGTCCACTTGAAATTCCATCATCAACATGGCTAATTCATATTGAAGGACTTGATCGATTATCTGATACTGGTACTCCATTGGAAGATGTAAGTAAAATACGAATTATCTTTATAATTGATAAAATATATTTTGAAATGTTTTAGAACTGTGAATTTGATATTAATTCACTTCAATCAAAGTTAAATCAAATTGGTAATTATGATATTTTAAGTACTGGATCAATTGTAATCGTATGTATTTATTATGCGTATCATGGATGATCGAAGAGTTTTTAGACAAGATGCTTATCCACTTTTGAAATCGTTAGAAAATATCTCCGACATGTCGAAAGCTATGCATTAAGATACTCTTTTCGAATATGAACTTAGAAATTTTATCCAAGTTCTTGTCCGATAGTAGTAAAATAATCTTTGAAAAGTCAAAAAAAATTAGTTTGGACGAAATTTATATGTCGACTTTTTCAGTGAACTTGTTTGTTAATTTTAGCGTGCTTAAAAACGTTTCAGATGAGCCAAAACTATAGATCACGACCAAAATCATGTGTCTATTTTTATTCAAGAGTAGTGAACGAGTTTCTGGAAGACCTGAAAAATTATTGTTAATGATTAGCCAACAAGTTTTTATTTACCTTATAAGTCACTTTTTCAACATGCTAAAAATTGTCCAAGTCGATCGTTTTGTAGAGCGGACACTTGTCTACAAAATGTTATATTGAACTAAGCTGTAGCTTTTACTTAAGTGAGGCTACAAGCATTTGCTCCCTTCAACGTAAAACAGTTATCGATTTTTCAAACATGAATATTTAGAAAAAAAACAAAAATTGAAATGCCTTGTCGAAAGATAAAAAAAAGTTGCAAATAGTACAATTTGTAGAGTAGCTTCCGATCTGTTAGCTGATATGTAAATAAAGATCTCAACTTTTAGTTTCGAATCATAATAGTGGAAATACAAAACATTTTCCGTTCAAACTAAGTTTTTGGACTTTTCAAAGGTTACTTCATTACTCTCGAATAAAAACTGAGACAAAATTTCTATATTCATATTCGAAAATACATCCTAGCGAGTTAAAAGTAAACAAATATCTTGTCTAAAAACTTTTTGATTATCCATTATAACGTCTATAATTAATATTTTTTAGAGTTCGAAATCAGATTTGGATAATCTTGAACAAATACTTAAAGATCAAATATCACGATTGAATGAAAAAGTATATTAAATTTTTAAATTTTATTAAAACAAATTTCTTTTTTTTTTTTTGTTATAGGCATCAGTTAACTATATTGTCATTGTTTGTGATGATTGTCAAAATGATAATGCAGTTCAACAATTACAAAATCAATTAAAGACAGCCATTGATAAAGTAAGTCTATTCAACAAAAGAATCTATTTGAATTAAAAAAATAAATAGATTATTGCAAATGATCCTCAAACATTAGCTATGACATTAGCAACAAAACAAAGTGCACGTATACGTCGAGCACGACAAACTGAAGAAGTGGTAAGTTCTGAATTTTCTATTTTCTATTTTACATATAAACATTTTTATGTAATATAATTAGAGTGCAAATGTAACAATTGCACCAATGTATTCAGATGACTATCCAGTAATGTTTAATTTATTTTTTTGGACATCATTGGTTTTAGCATTAATTGTCATAAGTATAGTTTATGTATTCTTAACATTAGATCCAGGAGCGGATACAATTATTTATCGTATGACAGCACCAAGATTAAAAGTTGATTAAACGATTTCTATTTTCGTTTTTTTTCTCTTCATTTCATGGCATTTTAATTTCTTTCTTTTTCTTTTTTTGTCTTGTCCTTCATTCTTATTTATCCAACAAACCTATAAATTCGATGTGCAACTTGAACTATTTTTTATTATTATTTATCTATATATTTTTTGTTCGTTTGTGTTTATGTTGTTTGTTCGATTTTGTCATATGTGTTTATGTTTGATTAAAGAACCAACTCGTCATTCCGTTTAGATATATATATTTCAATTTTACGGACTAAAAACGTTTATTTACATAGAAATAAAAAAAAACAATCACAGAGAAGTAGTTTTAGGGAGTAAAGATTGACCAAATGATTGATCGAATGATTGAATATATTGTGCCAATGAAATACGTAAATCAAGTAAAGCTAAAGAAAAATAAAATTTATTTTATAAATAAAAAGGAAAATGATTCGAATTGTTTTGACTGAGGTGAGTTTTTACTTATGTCGTCTGTTCGAAGAAGTCTTGAATTCATAAATAGTGGCCTTTCAATGAAATGATCTTCTATTAGTTATCATCTAATGGTCATTTCAGAAAATAAGGCAGGTAGGCATTTGTTTTTTTTTGAATGACTTTGATAGAAACAAGATAGAGCGCTGTGGTTTTCATCATTGGATAGTGAAGATGATGTCGCATCGAATTATATATTCTCAGTTCTCCTAAGATGTTTTCTATAGTTCTTTTTAATCAATTTATTTAAAAAAAAGTGTCGGAAAAATGATTCTTTACAACATAAGAAAATTGCAAAAATGTGACTTTTTTATTTCACAGCAATTGCTTGAAAAATCGGCCGAGAATTTTGACTGGAATGTCTATGACTCCTGAATAACTGAATTTAAAAATCTGAGGCTTCCATAGTTTTGTAGATATTCCATTGGCAATTCGGATGCACATCGAATAATTGAAAATTCACTATAGCCACCTCACAGGGTATCTTGGCTTCCAAACAGATCGCTTGTAAACCGTAAAAAACCAGATCGAGAAAACTCGTAATATATGATTCGATGCGTCTTCATCTTCGCTTTCTAAAGGTGAAAACTGCAGTTCTCTATTCTGTTTCTATCAAAAGCTATTTAAAAAAAATTCCAACCGTCTTTTTTTAGACGGGCATTGAGTTCCTTGTCCAATGTAGCTGATTGGTTTTTTTTAATCTGGGGTAAGATTCGTCCTATGAATTCGATATTTCGGTTTATTCTCCAATTTGATTTATGTTGTTTGGAAATATACGTATATATATCTCATAGCAAATAGTTAAATATTACATATAGAAACTTTTCTATTAAGGACTATGTACAATTCTTTTTATATGAGTTCGAAAGTTGAATTATTATAGAAAAAAATGTGAAAAAATTACCGATAAATGACCTTACTAACTGATTGTGTTTAAAATGATTGCTCATCTCAACATGATCACCGTGTCTTATCATCTGTCGGTTCTGTATTACTGTGACTATCACTAAAGAAAAATAATAAGCGACAAAGTCATTTAAATTAAAGATTTCATTAACATCGATATGTAAAAAAATTCAATATTTTTTTGCCATTTTTCAAAGAAAATGCTATATTTTGATGAAATTGAATCTTATACATAATTATCCATATTATCGAAAACTCGTAATCGGACGTCAAATTTTCATATTAAAGTTCGATTTCAGTCAATCTAAATATTTGCTACCATGAAAAAGTAATTCATTTGTTGATTCAAAATAACTAAAGAAAGAAGATTTGCTTATAGCAGAGTCTGAAAATGAATCGAACTATAACGATTCAAATCGATCCGAATTCGAACCAGTAAAATACTGTTCAATTCGATTTCTGACTCATAGCATGATAATAAACCATAACCAAGTCTCGAAAAAAGAAATACCTGGACGATGCATAATCAACATTTGAAATAGATGTAAAATATGTTCATGGCGTTCAAGTGATATATGATGTAATGCTTTAGCAACAAGAATTACCATTTTCTTTAAAATAAAAAAAAAAAAAAAACAAATAATAATTATTAAGAAGATAATATCTGCTAGACCTCATCAAGTGTTGAAAAATTTGAACGACAAATTCCTTCAATCATTTGTAATACGCCTAATGGATTACCCATTTGAATACGTGCAATTAAAGCTAATACCCATGCCCCTGTTAACCATGGATAACTATGAACAGCATTCATTGTATAATTATATACTTCACGAGTTTTATTCTAAAATTAATCACATAGGAAAAAAAAAGGATCGGAAATAAAAATTAAATATTAATAACTGACAGTTAAAAACATTGATAAACATGTTAATAAATGTATATCCATTGTATAGTTCGAATCGGTTAATTTTGGCATTTCTTTTAAAGCTGCTAATGTTATTCGATTATCTGATATAATCATTCCCATAGCACAAAGTGCAGTAACTGCACTTGAACAAACAGGTTTAGTTGAATAACTAAAACAAAATAAATTTCTTTTTTTTTTATTTTTAATTTAATAAAAAGAAGCAAACCTTTTAAAAAGATTTTTAACTGCTGTTTGTGGGTCAATTTTACGTTGATAAAGTCCAAGAAAAGTTAATAAAATTGAACGATCTTTATTTGATGTTGTTGAATCATCAATAAAACGTTTTAAAACTAGATTTAAGAAAAAAAAAATTTATTCCTAGAAAATTATTTTTCAATTATTTGAAACAAACTTTCAATAGCATCGATTTGTTTATTCATTTTTCCATAAGCTATTGCTAACCAGAGAACATCAAGTAATGTTATTTTATTATCTTGTAAAACAAATGCATCTAATTGTATATCACCACTTCGACTAAAAATGAAAAACAAACAAAAATAATGATCTAATAATTTAATTTTTATTTCATACCATTTAACACGTGCATAATCATTTCGTATCATTTTTGATAGTTCACTTTGTTGATTCATATAAGTCAACGAACTAAATAAAAAAGAACTATTAGCGCAATCTCAGTGGGATTAAAATGTAAAACACGATGTAGCTGTTATTCGCATCCTCAAAAGGAGAATTACCAAAATACCCGTCATAGTCTGTAATGGATCCTCAGTAGAGCCTATCGTTTTGGTTTCGAATCCAACTGAGTTCGAGTTTGCTTTTTTCTTTTATTAACTAAGTCTGGATCTGCATCCGAAAATTTTGGATCCGACAGGCTCTAGTAACCAGGGTGTCTCTGAGGGAAGAATGGGTTCAAATTTCTAACTTATGTGCTTTAACATTCCTTTTAAATCGTGTTTCATAAAAAAAAAATAAAATTCGAATTTTTTTAATTACAGTTGATAAGCATTAGCAGCTTGAATAAAACGTTGATTAAATTCATGAATAATGCCCAAACATTGTAAAGCATTTACATCTTGTGGATTTCGTTCTATAGATAATTTTAAATTAAGTAATTTAAAATAATAAAAAAAAATGAACTTACGAATATATTTAGTCAATGCATCTGATGCTCGTTGATTACCATCTAAATAATCAATTGAATATCGATAAATATCGCTTGATTTATTAGTTGGTTTAATAAGAAGACGTGCAATTGCTTTTCCATAACCATATAAACCTTGGGACTAAAAAAAAAAAGGAAACTTTTTGTATATTAAAAAACACTACTTTCTTGTTCATTACGTGATTGGAAAGATCAACACAATGACGATAGAGATCAATAGACTCATTATAATCAATTTTTTCAGCTATAAGTGCCTAAAATATTTTTATTTAGTTCAGAATAAATAAAAACAAAAAATTTTCTATACTTGTCCAATCCAAGCTAATGAATACATTGGATCAGTTTGTTGAGCTTTGGAAAATGCTTTATTTGCTAATTCTATATTTTCATGACGATAATAGAGAAAGCCCAGATTTGTATATACTATAGCTGATCGTTGTAATTGAAGTGATTTAAAAAAACAATGTTGAGCAAAACCAGATTCATTCAAAGCTATAAAATATATTTTAATTATTTTTGTTTTTTTTAAAGATCTACAGACAAAAGGTTGATATATGTTTCTCAAAAATAAACAAATGATTTAAAGTACACTCTGCATTTATACCTTAGAGAGCGTGCTGGTGCGGTCGGAGATAAGTCTATCTTTTTATAAACATTCACTGGAATCTATCGGGTCTGATCTAACGGAGTCATACTCTAAAAGTAACAGCCAAGTATGCCTTGATTATTATAAGATCTCATCGTCAAGATTGTCTAAGAAATGTTTAGAATGTGTTAGTTGTCATAGAATATAAATAATAGATAAAAAGTATCTCATATCTTCGAAATGACTATCAGGTTTAGACTAAAATATTTCGCTGAAATTAAAAGTATGATTTGGATTCAAAAATTTTGATCATTCTCTCCATCTAAACTGCATGACAATTGAAGTATATCAAAAATTAAAAAGATCGCTGATTTGTACCACTAATAAGATTTGCAAAGCACGAAATCAAATAGAACTCGTTTCTACATACGAATATAGGGGGACCATTTCAGTAAAATGGGACATACTCACTTTTCATTTGATTTTGATTCTTTATAAGAGTTATTTTTTTGAATAAGTTCTTTTATCATAGACGTATGTTAAAACGTCGACTTTTTCAGCTGACTATTAATTAAAAACTAATTAGCGAATATCTCTCTGATTATATGAGAAAAAACCCAAAAACTTCAGGATGGACTCTACACGCCACGTGTTGCTTCTATAGTGAAATTTTCAGTGAGATCGAACTTCAAAAAACTTTCTCATAAAAACCGGTTTCTTAGAGACTCTTCCACGTTCCGACATAATAATTTTTATCTTATCATCATTCAGAGAATCTGAAGAAAGATTTGTACTGTTTGGAATTGGTTTTAAACCTCTCATTCGGCTATAAGTGCATTTTTACGTTTGTATATTCATGCTCTGTCACGTTACTAACGAAAAATAAATCGAATTTTTTTGAAAAATCGAAGCATGCTCAGAAAAAACTTTCGATAGAGATTTTATAGCCTCAGGAGTTGTCTACAAAATGTAATAATTTGTTTTGAAACATGTTGACTCAATTCGAAATTTTTTTAAACTAAAATGTATGAAGTGAATGTCAACGTCCTTTTTAACAATTGTTTTTTTTTACTAATAACTGCTGTAAACAATGGTCTGTAGCGCTATTTTTTTCAGAGTATCCAAAGTAACTTAACATACACGTAACATATAAAAAATTAGTTCTAGGAAAGCTCATTATTTCAAGATACACATGTTTTAATTTTGCTCATATACTAGATAATCAAACTATTTTCTATTTCTGAAAATCGAGCCAGACTATAAAACAATTAATAGATTTTCTTTCATGTATAAAAACTTCTGATTTACCTGGATGTGCTGCAACAACTCCAAGTGCATTCCATAATAAATGATCATTGGGTTTTAATGAAATCGCCACTTTCATATATTCCAATGCTAGCATAAGCATACGTTGATCATCTGAATTATAACGTGCTTGAATATAAACACATTGAGCAAGACATGACCAATATACTGCTGAACGTGATTTAAGATGAATTGCTTTCATGAAACATCTATTCAAATAAAATCAAATATATAAACAAAAAGAAAAATATTCATTGTATACTTTTGTGCACGTTGAAGTAGATCAATTTTTTTTAAAACAATACAACCATCAGTATCTTTTATTTTATTTTCATCAAATTTTTTTGTTAATGATGGTAATCGTATATGAATTAAAGCATCATTGATCGGATGAAGAAGCATACATGCATCACCATATTTTTTCCATAAACATGCATAATTAGATTGTAAACATAATGCATCATGAAAGGCCTATTATTCAAAAAAAGTTCTATTAACAACATAATAAATTCAAATTTTCATATTTACTGTAAGTGATTGCTGAACATGAAAAACTGCTAATTGATCTTTATAAAGTCCTAGTTGTTGAATAGCAAGATAAAAATGAGCTTCACCTTTGCCTGAAAAAAAAGAACCAATCAATAATTAACGACGAAATTATATAAACAATTGTAAAACCTTTTCGAGCTAAAATATATTTTGGTGATTGATCAATAACTTTATCAAATAATGAAATAGCTTCATTATAACGACCAAGTAATGTCATAGTAAATGCTTGTCTTGTTAATGAATAAAGTGTTTCACGTTCTAATGATGTTGCTTTACTATAACAACTTAATGCTGTTTTTAAATTATTTGTATGTAAATGTGCATCACCTAATGCTGACCAAGTAGCACTTGAATATAGTGAAAAAAAATATTTTTTTTTAAAAATTAAAACAAAAAAAAGAAGATTCATTCTTTTTTTTTTTGAATTTACCCAGAAACAGGTGGACGTCGAGAAACGATTTGTAATGCTTTAACAGCATTATAAACATTATTTATTCGAAGAGAAACAAGTCCAAAACGAAAATGTGCCCAAGTTTTTGTATTATTCATAGCAAGTATACGTTCAAGGATTTCTAATGCATCATACTAAATAAAAAGAAAAATAATGAAAAAAAAAAACGACAAAAATTTATAATTTACAATTTGTTCAGCTTGAAGGAGATTATCAACATAGTTTATTTGTACACTTTCAATATTTTCATTTAATTCAAAAGCACGTTTTGAATAAGCTAATGCTTCAGGTAAACTTTGTTCAATTTCATTATAATATCGACTTAAACATGCATAACTTTCCCAAAAATATTCATCAAGTTCAATAGCCTAAATTAGATTTAAAATAAATTATAAAAATGAAAAATTTATTATTTTTTTTTTTCAATAAAAATATTAACTTTATTAAATGCATATTTGCATTGATCTTTATCAAACATATCATTTGAACGTTGAATAGATAAATAAGCTTGACCAACTGATAACCATCCTTGAACAGTTAACTCAAATAATTCTTCATTATCATTAGCTTCTTTTAATGCATTTTGTACTCTAAAAGATTTTACAAAATAAAATTCAGAATTAATTTATTGAAGTACGAAATACATTTTAAGAAGTTCACTAGGATATTCTTCAATTAGAGCTAACTGAAGACGACAAGATACTTCTTGACTTGGATCTAAATGATCTTTTATTATTTCGTAACATGTACGAGCATCAGTTGATGTATTCAACTTTATATAAGCATTAAATTGACCATTAACTGCTCGATCATGAAATTTATTTAATACATTTCGAACCTATTTAAACAAAACTTATTGTACATAGAATAATCTTCGAATATTAAAAACAAAAATAAAATACTTTATTAAATAATTGAATAGATTTTTCATATTGACCTTGATCATAGGTAATCATAGCTAAGCAAAGATCTATTAACGATTCAATTGATAATACAACATCTTTCACAATAAAATTTGTCAATTTTGTTCGTGCTAAATAAAAAAAAAAAATTAATATTTGTGTATGTTTTCTAATTAACTTACCAATACTAATAATGTCTATTGTCTCTTTAATAATGTGTAAATGAGTATAACAAACCATTTGAAGAATAAGTACAAGATGATAACTATCTATTAAATATTTAATATTGAATAACATCAAAAAAAAAGCTAAATATGATTTACCATCTTCTTGATTAAGATTAAGTAATGATTCGAGTGCAGTTGAATATTTTCCATTTCGAATTAAAAAATAAGCTTTACCACAAATCGATGGTGCTGATATTTGATTATTCTCATCTGAACGAATACGATTTAATGCATCAGTTAATTTTGCTACAGGGGCCAATGAATCATCTAAAAAGAAGAAATCAGATATAAAAAAAAAGAAGTTATTAGAACAATTCCTGTGAGATTAAAATGTGAAACACGATGTAATTGCTCTTGTTAATTACAGAGACATTGTTTTATACAATCTATTTTTGGACACATTGCTGCACCATCCTTTTACTCAATCCTTCAGAAATGTCAAAAGGAAGTAGTTTAACAAGACGTTATTGATATACGATCTATGGTCGTATATTAACAGCGACTACGATGCGGAAGAGTGTTGTTAATGTGTCTGCAGCGGAGAGAGGATAAGTCTAAATTTCTATCTCAATATTTCAACACTTCTTTTAGATCGTGTCTCATAAAAAAAAAAAAATTTTTAAATCATTTTACATATTTGTGGTAATAATGTTTCAAGAACAATAGTTATTATTGTATTTTGAGCTATTGTCGAATTTGGAAATAGTGTTAAACATTCATTACAATAATCAATAATATCTGAACTAGGACGACCCATCTAGAAAAAAAAACTTAAACGAATAAAATTAAATAATTTCAAATATTTTCTCACTTGACAAATTGATTTAATATATTTTTCATAGTAATTTAAACGTTGAATATTATCTGAACTACTTTGTGATAGCCAAAAATAGTTACTACTCAACTAGAATTAAGAAAATAATTGTAAAAGAAAAAAAAAAACTTTTATTTTTAAAACTAACAAATTCATTTAAACTTGTTGAAAGTGTTTTTATCGGTGAAAGTATATCAATAGACAATAATCGATATAATCGTTCATCTTCTTGACTTAATTGAAGACGTTTTTCTTCAACAATATCTTTACAAAGTTCAGCTAATTGTATCCGATATAGATTATTTTGTTCATCTGTAGTTGTTGATTGAAATTCAATTTGTTTCTTTAAATATTCAATATATTTTTTTGCATGATCGAAGAATTTTGTTGGATCACTATTAATTAAAAATCCGGCAAATATTACTCATTTTTCTTTTTTTTTTTTTTTTTAACATACGATGCACGAATCAATGAACATAATTTTCGATATGCACTAGTAATATCACTTTCACTAAGAAAACCTGGAGCACGTTCACCTAATTGTATCATACCCTATCAAAGGAAACATTAATATAAATTTTCTCAATAAGAAAAAACATAAGAGATTCTACTTGATAAGCAATAGGTTGATTTTCATCAAGTTCAAGTGCTTTATTCAAAGCGGCCTGTGCTTGATGAAATTGTTTCAATTCTTGTGCACAAGCAGCAATCATAATCCAACCTGTATAACATGTTTTATCTTTTTTAATAATTGCCTATAATATCAAAATACGTATATATATATATTAATATCATAGTGACTAATAAAACAAAAAAAAATATTACTTCACATAATTTCAAAGCTCCAGTATGATCTTTTTGACTAATAAGTTCTCGAGCTTGTTTTAATTGTGCTTTAATTTCTTTAGCTATTGCAGTTGTATCTCCACTTGTTGATGATGCCATTTTTAAAGAAATATACTATATCTATAAAAATTAATAGTTAAAAATTTTTGATTTCTGAATAACTGTTTTTTTGTTTTGAATATAACAAAAACAAAAGAACTATACATATATATGTATTATATCGGACTTAAATACTTCGATGAATAATTTTACATTCTGAACAATTAGATTGACTTTTAATACATTGAACAATCCATTGTCGTGCAAACCAAAATTTTGTTTGAAATGTTTGTAATTCTTGATCAGATTTATACGAATCAAGATGAATATCAAGATCAAGTTTGATTATATTCGGCATTTGAGCAAGTAATTCAGCCCATTGATGTCCATTAGCATATGCTTGTAAAGTAGTCTTAACAGATAAATGATGTATTTTTGAAAAACGTCGAATCAATTCAAACATCGATTGAAATGTTCCAATAGTAACATCTATTTTAAAATAATTCATATTTGATATAAGATTTGAAAGACCATTACAATCAAGACATGCTAATGCATGAACATAAAAATATAAAGCACAACGAATATTTATTTGTATGTAATCAAAAGAAATTTTATTTATAAAATATTTATGAAGAAGAGTAAGAATTTTAAATGGAGGATTTGTTTCGATAAAAACATGTGTAAGATGATTACTTTTATCAATGGAATAATGAGAATTATTAGCAAGTACAAGTTTACAAATTGTTTCATTTGATGAACAACAATAATTTTGTTCAAGTAGACGAAGTGAACGTAGAGATGACATATTTGGTATGATTAAAAATAATGTTTCTAATTGTTTTTGATTAAGTGCAGTAAGTGAAAGAAATCGAAGATTTGAAAATTGTATCAAATTAAATGATTGAATAAACAAATCAATTACAAATTCTGAATAACATGATGAAGAAAAACAAGAAATTATCTTAGATGATTCTCCTAAATCTATCGCCATTGTTTGATTAATTATTTTTGGTACAATATATTTTAATATACGTTTATATTCAATTTTATTTAAATTATTAAAATTTAGTTTCATTGGTATATTTTGAATTATTTCATTTAAACGATGATTAAGTCCATAAAACGAATGTATAATATTGAATGATAATAAATAATCAAATATGTCTCGATAGATTTCATTTGGTAAATTATGAAATTTTGTTACATATGATGATTGATCTAATCTCTCAATATAAAATAATTATATCTCAATAATAATACTATTAATAAGCATACTTTTTATTTCTTTCTCATATGCAATTTTTAATCGTTTTACAATAATATTTTTCTTTCCATTTGAATTTAATTGACGTTTTTTTAATTCATTTTGAATTTGACGATAAGATAATTCATTCATGATATTTATTTGAGAAGAAAACATAACTACAAAAGAAAACATAAGCAACCAAAAAAAAAAGATTTTTGACATCATGCTTTTTTTTGTTCTCATAAAAAAATCTGTTATTGTTATAAATTTCTTTTTAAGTTTTTCAATAAGAGAATTTCAAAAGAAAAAATCATTACTTTGATCCAATGACTAATTGTCTTATTTTTCTCTTTTGTATACAGAAAAAATTCTCAACATGTTAGTAATATATAAAAAGAGAATGTTGAATCAACATTAAATATAAAAAACTTTGTTGTTTGTTAAATATATATCATTTCACGTGGATAAAAAGCGAATAATAAGACATAGTTGTTTCTTGTTACATGGCATAGACAAATAGAAAAGAAGAACTACACATGCTCACACACACAGGATTTCAAACTACAAGTATGAATAACAGAGAAACCGATGGAATGAAAGAAAAAAAATTGAGTATGATAATAACAGAGCAGAAACAAAGAAAAAAAAATCAACAAAAAATTTTTTCTTCAAATAAATGAAGTATCATGATAATATTTGTTGTTTATTTAAAGTTCATCATCAGTTGCCTTTTGACTCTTCTTTTTTGATCCATTACGATCATAACCTTGAAGAGGTTCAGTAGCTTCTTTAGCCAAATATTTGATAAAGTCATCAACTTCACGTCCACCCTAAAAATAATTCATTCAAAACAAAAACATATGTTATATGACACAAAAAACAAAAAATAAACTAACATCATATCTGCGTGGATTATCTTTGTTATTCTTGGGTACAAAATAAATTGTTGGAAATCCTTGAACATCATATGGCGGTGGAACATCATTCTCTGTAGCATCCATTTTAGCACTAAAAAACAAAATATTTATTAATAAGAAAATTCAAATATTTATTTTTCTTTATCTTACATAACAAGGTCTGATTCTTTTCTTAATTTCTTAGCTAATTCATCATATTTAGGAGCAAGTGATTTACTAAAGAAAACAAAATATGAAATTGAGTTTTTTTTTTTGATAAAAATTATTTCATCTTACCAATGACCACACCTAGAAAAATAAAAAGAAAAAAAAATTAATTAAAAATAAACATAAAATTTTGATTTTACCATGGTGCATAATATTCAATAAGAACATCTTTTGATTTATCATTAACAATATCATTAAAATTTTTTCCTACAACAACTTTAACATCACCAGTTTGTTCGGGAACAGGTTGAGATTTAATATATGGTTCAAGATCATCATTAGCAACTTTACGAGCAAATTCTTCAAGAAGTTCAAAAGTAAAATCTTCTGACATTTTATATTTTTCACTACCAGCACCACGAGCAAGTACATATTTTTTATCTTTTTTAATATCATCAATTCCATATTCATTTAATTCGTGACGAAATTCTTCAGCATTGCTTACAGCAAAATGAACATTAACTTTTTCATCAGCCAATTTTTTTGCAATTTTTAATACACGATTACGAACATAATTTGTACCCTTGGTATCACGAACATAATCAACATTATAATAAACAACAACGTTTGGTTTAGAAAAGTCGGCAGCATTGGATGGTGTACGATGACCGACAAGACCATGACTAAAATAAAAAAAGCACATATATATATATGAAAGGTATTGGAAATTCAAAATTTTTAGCAAATTTTTGTTTTCAATTTATTAGTGTCGTGGGACAGAGCACATCGAATTGTTTATGAAAAACTGCTTTTCCAATTTTTGGCAGCAAATTTTTTTCTGGAAATATTGGAAAAAGACTAAATTCTAAATATCATGAACATTATAAAGGTTATTTCCTAATTCTACAGACAAAAAATTGACCAAAAAATCTTATGTACATAAGGCTTTTTTGGTCAAATTTGTCTACAGAATTAGGAAATACTCCTTATAATATTTTACAAAGTGAAAAACAATATTTACATATCTGTCATAATGAACGACTCTGTTCATAATATTTAGAATTTAGTCTTTTTTCCAATATTTTGAGAAAAACTTCTTTAATTTGCTAAAATTTTTCATTTTCGGCATCTTATTCTAATCATTGGGAAAAAGAAGACGAAAAATCTTACATTTTTTCTTGAATATATGTTTTGATTGTATTGCCAACACCTTCAACAGCTGAAAAAGCATCTTCAAATTTTGATTGTAATCGTTTTGGTTGATGAATAACAATTTTACTAGATAACCAAAATAAAAAAAGAAATTTTTATGTCATATTAAAAAAAAAAGAGAAATTTCATACTTTAAATGTTGAACTTTATCAAGAATTTCTTTTGATGTTGTATAAGCAAAACGTAATTTTTCTGATAATTGATCAGCAACTTTAACAAGATCACTTTTTAATGAATGAGTATCACTTTCGAAATAACCTATTTTACATCATATTTAAGTTATAGATTTTCATTTTATTTCTATAAAACATACCAACGATACTATGATCGCTATGATCTAAAAATTTTTCATAATCAGCTAATGTTTCAAGTATACGAAATGATGGACCAGATTTTGATCGCATTGTTGAAACAATACCATCTAATAAAAATAAATTCTTTTTTTCCTATTAAATCAAATTAAAATTTTAATCATAAACATACCGGCTTCTCGTGGACCATTGTAATCTTCAGCAAATTCACCATTTTTAAATATTTTTAATGCTAAATTATAAACGAATTATTATTATTATTATTATTGAAAAAAAAATTCTTCAAAAATAATAAAACATACTTGGATAACCACTAACACCATGTTTACCACATGTTTTAGTTTCAACAGTACAATCAACCTGAGACGAATAAGAAATTTATTATATCATTGATTGAAATCTATTTTATTTACTTTAGCTAAAGCAACAGGTGGATCATTCTTTAATAATAATGTAGCAGCTTTTTCATATTCCGGTGCAAGTCGTTTGCCTTTCGAGAAGAAAAAAAAAAATAATCATCTATTTATTTATGAACTATTATAAAAGAATACTTACAATGGCCACACCATGGTGCATAAAATTCAACAAGCAAAACATCATGTTGTTGAACTTTTGACTCGAAATCACTATCGGTAAATACGAGTACATCACTTGCAGTTACAAATGTTGTTAGACCAATTGATAGTAAAATAAAGAGAACAGATTGCATTGTTGTTCGATCAATAAAGAATCAATGAAGTCTAATCTATAAAATTACAAGAAATCTATACAACGGTATAAATATAAAACATCTAGAATGATGGAGCAATATGATCTGTCTCTTTGTTGTTAAATTTTCTTTCAATGGAATTGCAGCAGCTGGCGTACGAATATACAGTACGAGAGGAAGAAAAAAAGTTGTAGACCTGGAAATATTCGATTGGATCGATCATGATTTTTACTTCTTACAACTAGAATTCGAAGATTTTATCTTAAATTTTTATTTTAATATTAATTTTATATTTATTTATGAAATTAATTATATTTTTAATTGAAAAATTTTTCATAGAGGACAAATAAATAATATTGATTGGTGGATATAACTAACAAATATAAAAGAAGTAAAACTACATATGAGAGCTATATAGATAACATTGTTATTTGACAAATATTCTTTTGACAATGTTACCTGAATTTAGGAGTCAATTTTTTCAATTACCGCTTATTTCAACAACATGGATATATATACGAAATCGATATATAGAAAGAAAAAAAAATTCTCTCTTTCCAGTTCGTATTATTTTATTAATTATCGAACAAACAATATCATTAGTATACGAAAATATTATTCGACCTTTGCTCAATCCATGTTATATATACGGTAAATAATTCTAACAACAATACCATCATTTATTCGAATTTGTTCTTTATTAAAAATCAAAATCTTTTCTCGAAAAGTCAATTTTTCTTTTAAAAGAATGGTCAGGAATCTCAAAAACATCATTGATAACAACATCACCAATAAAAAATCATCTATAAGGATCAATTAGAAAAATAAGAAATACAGTGGTGGCAAAAGTTTCATGACACTAGAAAAATGTTTTCCAACATTTTACAATAGAGTTGATACAAACTTGGTACATATTTTTAGCATTCTTAGTTGCTAAGCTTTCATATACCACTGAGTCAAGCAAATACTACGACTTTTAATGAATGAACAACACTAAATAAAAAGTTCCGTAATACTTTCGACTTCTTTTATTATATCGCTTTTTTTTCAACTTTAAATATCACCGTCAGAAAGAGCATAAAAAATTGAGCATAGTTAATATCCTTTTAGTTTTCAAATCATAGGGTGCCGACATTTTCTGAAGGACACTTCTATGTAAAAATCATTGGTATTCACTTAAAATCCACTGAGAACTCACTATGGACAGCGACAAATAGGTTATTTTTTGGATTTATCTTGTAGAGCTATTTCAATTCTACAAAATGAGATGTTTTGTAGCCATCTGACATGTACAGTAAATGATTCATATGATATTATAGAGAGAAGTTTCAAAATCTCAACATATTTAAACTATTTTCATTTGAAAATGTGAATAAAAACAGTTTCTCTATTACAAAGTCGAATAAGTCGTTTACTTTATATGTCAGATGGCTACAAAACGTCTCATTTTGTAGAATTACAGTAGTTCTACAAGATAAATTTAAAAGAGAACCTATTCATTGCTATTCACAATGAGTTCTTAGTAGATTTTTAGTGAATACTCGAGGTTTCTGCATAAAAGCTCCTTTCTAGAATATGCATATTTCCTATGATTTCAAAACTAAAAAGGATATCAACTATGCTCAATTTTTTATGCTCTTTTCGATGGTGATATCTAAAATTGAAAAAAAGGGATATAAAAGAAGTCGAAAGTGTCACGGAGTTTTTTGCCATCACTGTATTGTTATTCTTTGATCTCAAATTCAGATTGCAGAATAGTTTGTTTAATCATTTCTCTTGAAACGAATTTTTATGATTTGATTATCATACTTGAATGTTTGCTAGAAGATACTATAGACTATATTATGGTATAATATTACTAACAGATTATGGAAATGAATTTATGAAAAGGCTGAAAGAAAATATATGTGCAAAAAGAAATGCTACATAAGCTTTTCAAATTTATATATTTCACATAGATGACAATGCATTTATAGTCTATCAAGTGCTCGAATCATCAAATCCAAAAGTACTGTTTTCGATATTTGTATTTCATAAAAGTCATTTAATGTTATCGTCTTCTTGAATATTGATATCAACAACTTCATCTTCTTTTTTTTTTGTTGTCGGTTTCTCCGTAGTTCTTTGTATTCTGTATATGATGCATAGATTTCGTTGACAAAGGATCATCTTTAATAAGCTATTGCATCATTTATTCGAAAGTATACTTCTTTTGCTGATCATCTCACCTAATAGTCGTCTTGTTCAACACTATCGCTAGTGAGTTTTCAGTTTGTAAAATAATCTCAATCTCTTTTATGACTACGTAAATAAGAACAATTAATTAAATCGCTATTAGAAAACGATAACTACTATGTGTAAGTAAATTTTTCAAACAAGAAAAATAATAGAAATAGGTCATGATGATATAAAACCGTTATTATAAGACAGGTATTACGGATGCATCAACGTGAGTCACCACTTCTATTCGCTATAAGTGTCACCTGTTAAAATAAGGCTTAATTCTAGTGGGTTATGACGTCTATATGATCATCGTTTTAATACATCATAAATATCTTTTGTTCCACACCAAAAATAGAAAAAAGCAAAAAAAAAATATCAAAACTGAAAATTTCAATCTGAATTTATTTGTTTTAGTGAATAAGTTGGATGATTATCTATGTTCACATATTGATTCTATTCGAAATATTTGTCCAATTGTTGATCGTACTTCAAATGAAGTAATTGAACGTTATAGTGATGTATTTTTCTTATCATTTATGAATAAAAATTCCAAATCATCTACAATTCATAGTAATTCTAATAACATAAACAATATTCATGAAGAAAAAAGTTTTAAAGTTATTCAACGATTTTCTCAATTTTTAACAAATATTTTAATGATGATTGAGATTTATTCGAAATCTATTCAAAATGAATTAAATGATCACATTGATGCATGTCGAAATCTTTGGAAAACTTTGAATATGGAAGATGGACGATCACTAGATGCAGTTGATGTAAGAAATTTTTATCTCTTTAATGAAAAGAATTATCTATCTATTGCATTCATAAGTCTTTTTTTGTTTATATCTGTGATTTAGATGCATCTAATTTTTCTCTTATTTTGATATAATTCTTTGAAATATTCAATATAAATATTAGAAGATATTTTTAGTCATTTTCGGAAAAATTACTTGTACTCGGTCGTCGTATAACTGGAAATTATCGTCAATTTATTTATATTATTCGTTATCAAATGAAACGATTTCGATCTATATTATTTTCATTTTTACATATTCAAAATCGCTTTCGTTCAATTATATGGCGTCTTACTCGAAAAGTATATTATTATTTTAGTTATTTCGATTTTATAGATCGTTTATTGTTGCTGTTTTTTTTTGAATAGATTCGAATGAATCGAATAAATGAAAACCGTAATAATCGTGCACAATATGGATTAGTAACATCAAAAGGATATGTTCATCATTATTTAGAGATGATGATGCTCCATGCAGCTAAACATCCATGGATGAGATGGAAACAAGTATGGATCATACTTAATTTAATTTAAAAAAATAAATATTTATTGGAATTTTTATCTTTATATTTTTAGCCACAATTAAATCAAACATCTGAATCACAGGTTTGTCTTTCTATTTAATAAATTTAAAATATTTTCCTTTCTAAAATTATTTCATAAGAGTTGAACTATTTCGATTTTCATGGCTTGAATTATTATATTCAGAAAAATAGTTATTTTTCATAATCTAAATCTAATCAATTTATTGCTTTTTCTGTTTAGGTTGAAAGACCATTAAAATTCATTCGTCCAATGTTCTTTCTCTCACCAAATAATACTTCGGATTGTAGCGGATCTGAAGATAACCTTCGAGGTCAATCTTTTAATATTCTTCAATCAACACCATATCGACGAAATCATAAACATTCTAATATAATCCAATCAAAAAGACAAATTGAAGATGTTTTATCAAATATTTCATCATCTTTATCAAGTACACCTGAACAAAGTTTTGATGTTAAAGATATTATTCGACAAGTAACTTAATTTAAAATTATGATATCATTTTATTGTAGTTTTTCTCTATTCAAAAAAAAAAGGTTGGGGCACAGTCCCGTCAACCGTCAGATACAAATAGTTCAACAGATCAAGATGATGAAAATCGAATTATTGAACAAGCACTAAATGAAACAGATGATAATGAACAACAACAGCAATCAGTTTCTGTATTTGATCTTTCTCCTATGCTTGCTAGTGGTTGTGCTGTTTGAAAAAAACAATAAAATCGTTAAAAAAAACAGAGTTTTATACAACAATATACATAGAACAATAATATAAAAATGTTTTAATCGTTCATTCCTTATATTCTGATTTTTGCTCTTTGAATTCATAAGGCAATTCACAAAGAGTATTAATAAAAGGTTTCACACACTAGTGCAATCAACTTTTCTATTGTTTTAGCTAGAGTTTCATTAGCTTACATGCACAGAAATGCTCAAGAATTGATAAACTGGAATTGTCAAATTGTCTAATCAATCTGAGAATAACTATAATCGTTTCCGAGTACTAGAGATGGGCTGTTGTGTTCTTTCCTTGTTTTCTGCTATCAAAAAGACAAGTAGCATTTGTCGCTGCGACTCGCTGAACACTCGAGTGAATGTTCAACTCTTTCTGGATAGCCTACTGCTTCACAAGTTCAGTTGACACTAACATCAAATGTATGCATGCGGTCGGGTGAGCGTGCATAGGTTTGAGTTTGGATGTTAATATGTGTGCCGGTATCAGTATAGATATGGATGTGCTTGTCTGTTTGATTCTTCTTTTTACTTATTCAACTAATCACATTTAAACTCACACACGTTGGTACTCAACGCCTACATCCACAATCTACACATATCCACACTCACATTTTTTATACGCTGATCAATATGTAGTTTTCAATTTCTACAGAAGAAAAAAACCGAGATAGACGACCTGTTGGTCTTAAAAAATGGCTATCGCTGTCAAGAACTTAATTGCGAAAATAGTTAGTCTCCAAAATATTGAAATTAAAGTAAACATCTTCATAAAAATAGCAAAGGTTGAATCGTAGCGCATAGAAGTTTGATGATCACAATCATAGATTTGACTTATATTCAGTCAAAATTGTCTAATCATAGTAATAGATTAGAAATGTAAATGGCGCAAACCAAAGTTTTGGGTAATGATCATATACAACCAGAGGTGTGGGTGTGAAAGAATAGAAAATCTGTATCGACACTCAGACTCCACATCTACACCCTGCTCTTGTCCAATCAAATATTTGGTTACTCGGATTTCAGTTAAACAGAGATTTTGCTATCAGAGTGTCGTGGAGGTAGGCTTTCAGCCTGTGAGGTTCTCTGTTTATCATATATTAGGAATATCCAACTGTTGACTAATCCTTGTTTTGTGACCGAAATTTCAGTCTATAAGCTATTTTGCGTATATGAGAATCGTCTTATCAGTTTTTTTCATGTAAGATTTTCAGCCAATCACATATTTTTTCAAGTGTAACTTTGATCTAATCAGAGTTTTCATGTTTTGAAATGAACCAGACAGGTAAGCTCACTTTGCACGTTTTGTCAGTCTTCCTTTTATCTTTGTTGGAGTGGAGCAATCAATTGCTTGTCCATACTGACATTTCATTAGTGTCGACCACATAGTATTATATCTATAGATAATTTTGGAATAGCTCTAGTATTTTCAATTTTCAATCGAGAATCTTGCCACTGATAATACAATAGTTGTGTGGAAGGTGGCAAAATGTTATTTGAACAGAGTGTAATTAAAAAAGAATGATCTTTTCTGGAGATAAACTTAAGCATGGGAGTGGCTACCCGTGAGTGGTACTCTGGAGGAGTGCCGATGAATGACTAGCCATTGAACTAAAAAGTTCACTACGGATGTGATTTAGGAAAGATCTGTATAAGATTCAGTACTTTTGTTGAGAATATCCTATTAAGATTCGGTTAAAGACAAATTGTCATATAACATAGTCTTTCTAAAAAGATTGCCAAATCCTAGACATAGGTAATACTTGACAATAAAACGTTTTGTTTGCAATTTTCCATCGAGAATTCTTCTGTTATAGACTCAACAATTTATTCTAATAATCCTAATCTAAATCGGTTATTCCAGAGTTCTCAAGCAATTATCGTTAATAGTATGTATGTATACATGTGTAATTTTTAGTTCACGAAAGAAATTTCTTCGTTCATTCGTTGAAGACATACAGAGCATAAAAGATATCAATCATATAAACTGAGCTATAATTAAATATTGAGAGGTAATGAACCAATCTGTCCAATTTTTCTTTGTTACCTTTTTCATGCTCAGATTGGACATAGTGAGCTTCTATTCTGTACGAAGATTTATATCAATTAACGAATAGAAAGCAAAAAAAAAAGGAGATTTCAATCAAATTGAATAATTTATTTATTCTCAGAAACAAAGAAAATTAGCCGAAAAATTCACCAAAAAAATGATTACATATTTGAAGAAATGATGTATAAGACATGGCTTAAACATTTTAAAGTATCAACGTGAAGGTGTGGGTGTTGGTATTTCTTTTCTCTCATCTCCTCCTCTCGCTTCCACACACTTACATCCACTTTTAACATATTATATCAGGAGTAAGCGAGCGTGTGGACGAAAGTCATCTGTTCAAACAGCTACTCCGACACTTGATCCTCAATGACAAATAACAACCACCTGATGTAACAAAAATTTCTAGAAATTCTAGGACACGTGTGTCTTCCATCTGTTTGTTATAGAGTCAATCTTATTTGTTTACCGCAGCATCCGAAAGATCAGATCATATTTGGATGACGTATGAATACATTCTTTACGAAGAGACAAGTCATCAAAATGTGACAAATGATGATGGTTTACATCAAAGAACTGCGTATTCGTCAATATAGTTATCATTACCTTTTTCTTGACGATTGTTTAAGTTTCAAAATTTTAAAAAATAATGACAAAAGAGGTCTTTTTTTGAAACTCAACATCTTTCTAAGACAAAGTCGATCCAGTGGAAGCTGAATCCATACAGTTGTCTTTTATTTATAACATAAGAATATGCAAAAGACGACATCAAACAAAAGCTTACAAAAAAAGAAAAGGGCCATGTCTTCTTTAGGCAAGTGACATTTCGATAAGCGCCCCTGGTATATAACATCCTCCAGCTTGTGAATATGCTATGCCTTTGAATACTTTTCTTGATGCGTCCCAACTAAGTTGAATCATATCTTGATGGCCCAAATTTAAATTCGGATTTCCTGTACCGATCTATATACAAAAAAAACACCATATTCGAAATACATGAACATGTTGTCTATAGTAATAAACCTACTTGATAACGTTGTGTCATCTCAATTTTTCCAGTTACTTCTGAGAATGATCCGTTTAATACATATTGACCAACATTATCTTGTCCGTAACCGTTTAGTGTTCTAGTCATTGGATTAAAGACAATTTGATGTTGAAAGGGTCCATGCCATTGATTATATTGATAATATTGATACTTCCATAAACCAGATACAAAAATATTTTCTTGTGCTTGTTGAAAGTTTAGGGCAGTTCTTGCAGCACTCTGTGAATATAGCAAGGTAATCTTTTTAACGAAAAGGTAACCCTGAAAAAACATCACTCACCATGTGAGGAACGTTGTTTGTTTTACGTGAAGTTTCCCAGCTTGTTATCCCAATGTGTTGATCATCATCGGCCATCTCGAATGTTTTCCGCTGTGGAAAGTTGTTCTCAAATTTATCAGATTCATCCTTAATGAAGACGTTTTGAAAAGCTCAAACAAAAGATAGATTCGATTTTGCATTACCGATTCGATGTCAGCTCGAGCATTATTATTTTGCTCTTTATTCTTCTGTATATTACTCAATCCAATACCGAAATTGAGATCGTTCGAATATTGAGTTAGTTCACGATTCAAATCTAGAAATTTTTTCTCATAGTCTTTGTTATTCACGATACGTTTAAACCAGCTGGCTTCAATAAAAGTACTGATAAAGTCAAGACATTGACGTAGAAATGTTTCGAAACGATGAAGTGCCCTATGCATCGCTTCATTCAAACAATCGGATAGATCTCTTTGTGCCAAAAATCCGATCAATATATCAATACGTTCACTCAATTGTCCACATTGTTGTTTATTGACTTCAACTCGTTCAGCAGTTTCTCGAATATCAGTCGAAAGTTTATAAATATTGCTTAATACAGGTATTGATTTTGGGAGAGATGTCATTGCCACTGATATCGTATCCATAGCGGAGGAACCTGGAATATCCATGTTGTTGAGATGAGATATTTAATTAATGCTGTTTTTTTTTCAAACAAGTCGATATGCAAACAAATAGTGTATAATGCTGAAGCGAAAAATATGTGTTTACATTTATATTCACCTGTTCTATCTCACGGCTATGTATTTGTTTTCGTGTCAAAATCATACATACTTAATAATGATCATTTATTTTATCGTGCTATGCTTGTTTTATATCTAAATTAGTTTCAATTTTTTTGATGTTACAAATCGACAAGCGAGCAATTAAATAGATAAATTATTTATTAATTATGGTAGTGCATACCTTGACAACTCAGGTGAGGTCTTATATAACTATTTGGTATGTCATTCATCATGTCGTATGAAAGTAAAAACTATTTTCTTGAAGAACATGTTGCAACAAGGTCACCTTTTTTGCTTAAAATTTGTTAAAATTTTTTTTCGATTGTAAGTTTATTGGAGAATCATTAAAAACATATTTTCATATTTAAATTTTGCGCAATATTGATACAAAGTCTTGATTGTTAGGAATTGTACAAACCTTCGAAAAATTGTCTCTCAAATTTTTGCCAAAATTACATAGTACAGATGCCATTCTTTTTACTCTTATCACGAACATTTACTTTAAAATTGAGGAGAATAAAATTCTGACGGTGAACAGCGCGTATTACTGATAAATTCGCTGTTACGCACTCGATTTCTGATCAGAAGAATTCGACTAATAACACTTCAGTTGAGAATGAAATCTTGCTAATAACAACATCAGATCTACTGGATGGAGAATTATCTTTCGGATAGGGAATTTCCTTACGCTTTGACTACTTCAAATTAAAGAAAAAAAATTATACATCTCACACTTTCTGTCATTTCGTTCCTTGTTTTAATGCTAAACTCTTCTCGTACTTTTCTTTTCGGCTTCTTCTTACTTTGAGCTTTGTTTTTGTGTGAGAAATCGATCATGTATATAGCATGATTCATATCCTTTTTCGATCACTCTTGCAGTATTCTTTACAGTTACACTTTCGTGTTATTCATCAATCATTGCTGCCAACTTAGTTCTTCTATCATTGACAATCCATTTCCTTTACACCCATCTCTCTGTGCTTAGTAGTGACGAACTTTCTCTCTCATTGACGATTTGAAAGTAAGTTGGTAAATGAGATAGATGACGTAATTATAGTGAATGAATCATGAAACATTTCTGTTGTATACCTATATCTATTTGTTCGAGCGAGATGTGACTGTGACTGCAGGGAACATACATATACGTAGCTACAGCTAGACAATAGAGATTCCTTGACAAAAGTGAAAATTAACAGATTCATAAGTAACATTGGAAAAGGATTTTTCTATCGGTGTAGTCAGCAGGAAAAACTTTTGTTGCTTCTTACTCGAGTAAATTTTTCATGTCATTTATTATTGTATTGATCGTCGAACGTCATGATTGTTCAATCTATTCATCGATAAGTCATAAAAACAATTCATATTGTAAACAATTTTCATAGATATCATTTGTAGACTAGAAATTTCGAAAAGGAAATCATCTGGTTTAACCATAGTGTTATATATGCGAAATGATGGGATCTAATGCATTCATTGTTTTCGATCAAATACATTTACTTTTGCATTGTTGAGGTTTAGGAAAAATCTTCATTTAGAAAGGTCAATTGTCTTTCATATTTGACAATGAAGTGTTAGAGAATATATTTAAGATTAATGTTATGTTTATTACTTATGCTCAAAAGCTTATAGTGAGAAACGCTTGGTTATGAAAAGAGTTTTAATTGTATATCTTAAAGTATACGAGATTCTGAACACTAAAATTTGAATACAATCTTTTCGTTTTAAAAAAATTTGACCAGTTTTTTGACGATAACCACGTATTTTATTACGGTGAAAGATTTAAGGAAGAGAGTATGCCATCTAATTACTTACGTCACTGGCACTGATGTCTTTAGAAATATATCAATAGTTTTCCACAAAACTATAACAGATTTGAGACTCAGAAAAACAATGACGAAAAACACAATATTTCGATATAGCAAACAATAACTATAATTTAATATTTTCTTCTGTGATCACGAATGAAAAAAAACCAAGGCAAGAAACTATATTTTCATTATTTGATCATACTACGACAAATGAATTTGAGTTTGAAATTGAATACTTCCATTTCGAATTGTAGTTAATAAGTTTGATCAACATAACGAAGTATTCATTTGAAAACAGTTCGTTAAAATATTTTGTTTGATACTTTCTCCTTTCTTTAATAATAGATAGCAATCTGTGTTATACACGAATGAAGATCGCTAGTGCGTGCAATCATTTATTCTAGTTTTCAATATATTATAAATAGTCGCTTCTAACAGCTGTTGTGCAAACATTGTTAAGAATTTTGCAAAGTAAAAATATGAAGTAAGTTTATAGCCTTTACTCATTTATGAAACTATTCTTTAATATCTTTCCTTACATGAATTCCAATAATATCGTACGTAACTTTTTTTTTTATTTCAATCAATATTTTAATTCGCTTGCTCTTGAATGTGCGGTAGGCAATTCAAGATTTTGAATATCACATCAATTATTTGATTCATCGATTATTTGTCACACATTGAAAATACTATCGAAAAGATTATTTTTTATGTTAAAACTGTGCATCATATCTTTTTTTTTTCCTATAATTACTCATACATAAACGTTTGTTCGATTATTAGCAACAATTAATTCAATTTTAGTATTAAGTTACGTATTGACTATTGCTTTAATTTGGCTGGTATATCTCGTATTTGAATTTACTTCAAAGAATTAGTTCACTATGAGATACTAATTATTTCTTATAACTCATTAATCTCATTTATTATATACCCCAATATTATATTTCATACTTTATATAGAATTATTTAGTTAATTTAACATAAAAATATTCTCTATACGTTAACAGGTTGTGTTATTTCAGAAATACGATCCTAGTCTTCAAAGAATACTTTTCAATATTAAAACATTAAAATACAAAATTATAAAAAGAGAAATTTTAAATAACAACAAAAAGTTTTTCAGATCACGTCCTTTCAAATGATATTGTTATTTTGTTTTGTTTTTTTTGTTTTTCGCATTGAAATCATCGGTAGGCAACTTCGTGATAATGATGATCAAGTGCTTGTGTGTTTGTGTTTAATTTCTAATCAAGACACGCTAATGGATATTTCGTTTAAAAATAGTATCAAATTCATTTTAAAAAAAAGTTTAATATGAATAAAACATGCCGAAAAAGTAATGAAGTATAAATACTTCAGTCAAGAATCCTTACATTAGCACACATTTTGTCATACAAAACATTTCTTTTACTTCTTCCTTGCGTTCTGTTTCTCACTTCTATGCTTTCATTCAAGCGATCGTGATAAATTAACTCAACAAGAGTATCGCCTCGGTTGCTTCTACGCATAAAATTGCTGAGCAGACACAGACACGAAAAAAAGTCGTAGAACTGCATTGTTTGTAACAAAGAAAAAAACAATATTTCACTTTATTTTTTCTTTCCTTCTTGTTCATATTTGTTTCTTTACTTTCAAAACTGAAAACGATAACATTTATTTTATTCACTTACCATCACGTCATGTAGAGTTTCTTTGTACATATAACGACAACAATAAAATCATGCGTGAACCGATGACATTATTTGAACAATCAAATGTTTTTCACAAAATAAATCGTCAACGTTTACCTTTTGATCAGACAGTACGACATCCTCCTGTTTATTCTTCTTTAAATAATGTTGATGATCATGATCTAGAATTAAAAACTCTTTCATTCGATGTTTATACTAGTAAACATCTAGTAACAACTGGAAAATCGATCTTACCATACTCTGGACGTCATCATTTAGACGAAATTCTTTTACCTGCTATTGAGAAAGATATTCATCGTGATGAAAATCAACGTCGAGGAAAGAAAAAACGTCCTTCCTATCGTAAATCACTCTATCATTCAACTTTATCTAGTTCGACTCAAGTTGATTTAACTCAATTGACTGCTCGTGGTACGAAACCAGAAATTCAAACAATAATACCAATAGCCAATGACGATGATACAATTGGTAATTATCAACGTCATTATGCTCCACCACCAAGTCCATCCGATGATGAAATTGAACGATTATTATATAAACTAGAAGCAGTAAATCAATCTCGTTCACCTTCACAACAATCAATTAAAGAGAAAGAAGGATATATACCATTTCGTTTGCCAACACTCTATCGACCAGCACAATCTCGTCGTACATGGATAAATTCATCACCCAAAGATGTTAGATCGACTCTATCGAATTATCTTGGAAAATATTACTAAAAATATCAGCTAGTTTGTTTTCTGTATACAAAAAAAATTATTGAGTTTTGTAAATGTTTGTTTTTTTGCTTGTATATCTGTCGATCTTGAAGTACTATAAACAATGTTTATTTATCAAAAGAGATATTTAATAGATATATTTCTCGAGCTTATTTCAATTTTTTTAATTTGCAATGTTTCAATTTTCAGGTTAGTGTGGATTAATTGGTCAAATACACATCTTTGTTTGGAATAACTATAAAATTTGGTATCGAATTTATCTGTTGCTCTAGAAAGGTCATTGTTAAGTGATTATTTAAGTATGAATTATATTTTGTATTCATCATTATCTGACTTGATGAGTATAATAGTGATAAATAAATAGAAAAAAGACCATTCTTTGCACTTTAGTTTTGGTTTGTTAAAAAAATGGATCATGATTATCTTAATTTATTGAATCAATTATGAGTCTGACTTATGTACATCAAGCATCGTTTGATTGAAGTTCTATGGACTGCTTTTCACATACTTCTCTAATCGCACTATAACATATAGACGAACTCTTTTTTTTTTGATGCTATGAAGATTGCCGTTGATTATTACCAATTACTTCTATCTACGTCTTTTATCAAAGTCGAAAATTATGTATTCAACTTTTGATCAGTGTAAGACTAGAGAAAATCTTACGTCGAAAAATTTCGTAAGTAGCTTGATCAGTCATGAGATATATAGGAGAGTTTTAATGAGATGTTCTCACAATATAAATAAAAGATAACAAGAGAACAAAATTACATAGGAAACTATACGAGACAACGCGAGAGAAAAGAAATCACCAAGGGATAATAGCCAAATCAGTTAACGGTACAATATGATCATCTGTGTTAACATTAATACTTCGACTCTTTGATTGAAATGGATCATGAAAGGTTTCTGCTCATACTGATGCGCAGAATAGAAGGAAGATATTTTGATCGTGGCTATAAGAAATCAAGAAAAACAAATATACATATGTATACTGTAAATATCGTAATAAGAAAATTAGAGAGAAAACAGAAACCAGATGTCTATGTATGACAAAAGAAAAGACGTAGCCATGATTATACTAATGAAATAAACACAGGTAAATATGAAACCAGTGTGTAAAATTTTCTTCAGAAAATGTATCTATTAGTAACGTACCATCAGTCTTTTTTGGTAACCATTATATTGTGAAGTTGGATATAAAAAATATTATATATTTCGATAGTGTATTAACATTTTTGACATGTCTTCATTCAAGGAAATCCTTGATATATTTTATTATCCATTGAAAATCAATTGACTAATGAATAAAATTTGACCCTTTTTTTCTGTGTATTTGATAATTACGTTCTTTACATGTTTTACAACTCTGGTATATATTGATTCTTTTGAGAAAGATTGAAAAGAATGTAATTCTATTATATTACTTCAACTCATAAAGGTATAATCAACAGTAAATATAAAATTACACAAAAATACGAGAGAACCTACATCAGAAAAGAAGGAAAATATCAATCATTAACCAAGGATCAGTGATCGAACTAATTAAAGGTAACACGATATCACGTGCTGATGCTAACAGGTTCGACGATAGATAATTAATTGTTTGTTATTACTGCTGCCATTTTTCTAATAGGTGAACAATGTTTTTATGATCTATTGTCGTTTTGAAAACATGATTTAGATTGACTTGATGAGTTTAATGCACACATTAGTAAAATATGTTTAACACTAAATTGAATTATTCCTTCGATAAAGCTGTATTCATTTACTAACTCTTATAAGAAATTTTCAACTATTGACTTAATGAACTACACAAGTGCATAAGTGGAAGAAGGTGCTGTTTGTGCTTATGAGAAGATTCTTTAAGGCACTGCGAGCTCCCTAAAAAAACTTAAGTTTTCGTCAAAAAAATGAAAATTAAGATAAATGCATGGAAAGATAATCTGAATTCTGTTCTTTCAGAAACAACATGATTTTAAGAATTATCACCCCGTTTTTAGCAAATATTTCTTTGATAATTTTTGTCTTTTTCCGCTTAAAAAAATGTGATTTTGTTTTAGAAAAAAAAAAAAGATTTTCAGTTGTCTATATTGAAAAATAAACATTTTGATTAACTTCACCATGGTTTATAAAAAAAAATTATAGCTCATCCAACGATAATGAGAAATTAGTTGATCAATAGACAATAAGAAAAGTTTTGATGTAATTTCTCTCAAACGTCATGGTATAGAGATGAAAATTTTACCATAGACTGCCCCCTACATTCCCAACATATTCTGAAAATCTCATGCGATTTGAATGTACATGATGCGAAATTGGTTTTTGAGGGGGAGAAGGAGTTCCTAAATAGATGCGATATTTTGTAATTTATTAGCAAAAGGCATAAATATTGAATAGATACGTTTGTTCATACACACGTATATTAACAGCTATCGATCGAATGACGGCACACATAACTGTATATAACTATTGCATCTATATTCCAAAATGAAAAACAATATAATATAGTTCTTCAAAACATTCTAATTAGAAGGAATAAGTTAGTTGTGAGTATACGAAAGATGTGCACGAAATAACCGAATCTAATTTACACTGAACAAAAAAGCTTACAAAGGAAGGGAATAGTAATGGCATCCAAGGTAGTTCAAATTACCCTTAATAAGAATAGTATTAAGATAGATTGTTAGAAGCCGTGTGATTGTCTTATCCACTAAATTACGAATTGTAACTAGAAGACATATAATTCTTTCAATGCTTAAATCTCGTTAAGCTAAGCTCGTTTTGAGAACAATAATGTTTCAAATAAAAGAATACAAGTATTCGATATCAGAATAGCTTATTATCAATCGCATTCAAACTCAAACATGTATACTTCAGTCGAATTCATTGTTGCCGCAAAAAACCAATATCTAATGATATGAGACGTTTATTCGTCTATTCGAGATTATCACACTGACGAGAAAACTTATTGGCATTGTGAAAATCTTAAAAAATTTAATTCTCATTATCACATACATACATGTAATTTTGCTACCATCGTCACACATGCGGTCATTGTTAACCCTCATGGTGTTTATATAACAAATTGTATTCATGATCCAATCGAAATATCACTAAGAAAATTCCATGGCAGTCTCATCGATCGTGCAAACAATACACAAGAGTCAACTCATACTGTTGCATCACAGTTATCCGATCAAGCATCTTTACATTTACCACCATCAGATTAAAATATCTTGATAAGACATATGAATACTTGTAACATTATATGTATCAATACGATAATCAAAATAAATTGTTCTTCTTGTGCTTTACTTACATATGTACATATTTCAGTTTATGATTTTGAAAATAAAATAAAAATTATTATTTCTTTTATCTTTTTGTTTTTTTAATCGTTTATCGAAATTGAAAATTAGATTTGGTTATTTCGAGTACATCTTTTAACAATATGTTTTTTTTTTGGATCAATAAATTTATTTGAAAATACAAACATCAAGCACATTAATTTCATTAAAATGAGATAAAAATATAATTAATTTACATTAACACAGAGTTCTTAGTGTCAACGTCTGTCTTTCAAGTATGTTTGACTTATAATATGATTGATCTATACTTTATTTTGTATGGATCGATCTGTATATGTCGCACAACTTAAAATATTCTATTAAAATCACAAGTCATTTATCGCACAAAAAAAAACCATATTTGAACTTCAGAAAAAAAAAATGCTAATTTTTTTGTCCTCTTCTGGATCAATGAAAGATTAATTAATAGGTTATCAATTCAAATAAGAGCACACTATTCTAAATTATAAGATCCATCGTTCTGCCAATGATCAGGATGTTCTTGATACCATTTAATAGTCATACGAATACCATCATCAAATTTAATTTCTTGTTTCCAACCTAAACTTTCAAGTGCATCTGTCATAACAGAATATCGGCAATCATTAAAATAACGATCTTTAACATAAACAATTGAATCTTCAAGTTTAACTTCTGGCTTCATTAACTTAAGAAGTATTGAAGCTATTTCCATAACTTTAATTTCATCTTTTGAACCAATATTATAAATCATTTTTATTTTACCTTTACGAAGAACAAGATCAATAGCGTGTACTGTATCTGTTACATGAATAAAATTTCGAACTTGTTTTCCATCACCTTGTATTGTCATTTTTTCATTATTCATTATTGATGTAATAAAACGAGGAATAACTTTTTCAGGAAATTGATATGGACCATAAACATTATTACCACGTGTTATAACATATGGTAATTTAAAACTTTCACCATAAGATTTAACAAGAAATTCAGCTGCTGCTTTTGTTGCTGCATAAGGATTTGTTGGATTAAGAACAGCTGTTTCATGACAACTACCTAAATAAATCAATTATTTCTTTTATATTTAGAAATTATTAATTTTAACATTATGCTAGTACCTGCTGGCCACTCTCCATAAACTTCATCGGTACTAATATGTATAAATTTTCGAAGTTTATTATAAATTCGACTTGCTTCAAGTAAACAATGTGTACCAAATATATTTGATTCAGTAAATAGAATACTATTACCAAATGATGTATCAACATGTGTTTGTGCTAAATAAATTAAAATAAAAAATAAATAGAAATCGATTAAATCATGTAAAATTTTACCAGCAAAATGAACAACATGTGTAATATCATATTGTTTCATTAAATGTAACATTAAATCTTTATTATTAATACTTGCAACAACTAATTTATATTTCGATGAATCAGCTTGTTCAACATTTCGTATATTAGAACATGTATCAAGTTTATCAACATTAATAACTGTATCTTCAGGATATGTTTTAAGCCAATAATTAACAAAATTACTTCCTATAAATCCACAACCACCAGTAACAAGTAATCGTCGTGTTTCAGTTAAATCATGATTATTAGTTGCTTTCATATTTGCTCGATGTACACATATTGTTTCAATACTTTTTTTTAATTCTGGTAATATATG